CTAATATATGTATATATCATATATACAAGTACAAAACAAAAAATACAATATATTTTATGACATCGCAAGTAGTGAAGTTCATTGTGGTTCTGAACTGAACACTTCTACAATTTATTTGCTCAATGGTTTCTTCCTATGCGCAATATCTATAATTGAATTTGACTTATTAGGTAAAGCATAGTCCTAGGATTTAAATTACTGTACTGTACTAGACTTTTTATAGTTTCGAAAAACAATCGAAAATGCCATAAAAAATATGGAAAAAGTTATGACTTTCCGTTCTCTACAAATAGAGCAATTTTACACATCAACAACAATAGGATCTGATGACGCTGGACAAAGAGAGCACATTTAAAAGAATTTCCAGGGAACGTCTACGCTTGGCTAGCTTTTCAATGAACATACCAACGACCCTTTTCAGGCTTTGTTTGTTCGACCTTCGTAGCGTATAAAAAAAAAAATGAAACTTTCAACCGTTATCGCAGCGTCATATTGTAAGCATCACACATCAGTCGTTATCGCGAGTTGGGTGTATTCGTTGACATTAAGTTTTTGTGAGCGAAGAATGTGATAGAAAGAAAAGGGACAACAATTGATGTACGCTTTGTGCTATGCAAGGACATGTATTGAATGTTATAGCAGATTTGGTGACGGAATAAAATCTAAAATTAGGAACATTAGTAAGTTGATAGCTGGTAGGTAGAGGCTTCGATATTAATGACTTATTATTTGAAATTTTTTGCCTTTCAATGACGGGTAGGGTATAAAAATTTAAAAATAAAACGAAGAAAAACTTTCCTTACGTTCGAGAATAGCCAGATTTTGTTTTGCAATCAAGAGTGGCTTAGCAATAATTTTTTTCACACAATGTCCACAAACATATGTCTGATCGGTAGGGCTGAGAATTTCAGGGAAAAAACCATTAACCGGTTAACCGCAGCGTGACGTTTGACGTAATAATTTATAATTTTTCCTTGTTATGTCACAATGATTACAGAGCAATTCCGGGTGATCTTATCCCGATATCACTCAAAATTATTAACGATTGGAAATAGTTTCGTGATATCTTTGCTGCAAGCGATATGCAGCGTGCTTCGGGCATATGGAAGTATTATAGTAAAACCCGTTTTTCAGTTTTCAACGGGCAAATTTTACTCTGAGATATCATAAAAAAAAAACAGCATCAACTGCGCACTTGTTGGATGACATTGAATATACGATTTTCTAATAGAATCGTGAACAATATATTTCCACCGAAAACTGATTCTGAATTATCATTGTCAATTAAAATAAATCTTAACCGTTAACCATCTGAAATCGGTTAACCATTCCCAGCTCTACTGATCGGATATGATGAGATGGAAGAAAGGTATTATTTTTGGAATGGCCTTCACTGCTTCGCTTGGAAGATGTAATTCTAATTAAATAAATACATCAAGTTAATGTGAAATTATATATACCGGTATATATTGTGTTAGATATATTCTAGCCGCGGTTAAATCAATAATTCGCCTGGAAAAATAATGGGAGAAGACAAATATGATATTCTACAAAATTTTATTTTGGAAGGTAGATATCATTTTGAATTTTGACTATTTTGAAATAATACTATTATTTAATTTTTCATGCGATTACTTTTCCAGAAAGAGCACGTGCCCTAGCGCTACAAGGAATGTTTTACGAAGCAACTTCGCTCTTGGAAGAGTTTACGAACACGACAGAAATTGATTTCGGTGTGGAACTCCTTCGAGCCGAGTGTTACCTTCAGCTTGGAAGAGAAAATAAATACGAAAAATGCATAGAGCGCATTGAGCAATTATTATTAATGCCACCGATGTGCGATGCAACAGATATTATTTCGTTAGGAGATGAATTCATAAAAAATGATTTCCGTGTTAAAGCTTTAATTCTCCTGAAAATATCGTGTGATATAGTTCAAATATCATCCTTGCCTCCAGAAAAGATTTTTGAAACAATGTGCCTATGCTTCTCAAAAATTGACGATGTGGTGCGACCAATTCTAAGAAAAAAGACCTCAAATAGTAATACGAAAAATCTACTTGATATGCTCAAAAACTTAGGTAGGGGGTTGACGGACGGTACAGATTCTATTGCTAAGCCAAAGCTGCAAACGAAAATGAGCGAGCGCGTGCGAATTATTGCTTTGGACTTTGGCTTGGAATACTTACAGGAAATGCTAAAAACACTTGAAAATTTCAGTAAAATTGATCCCGAAAGGAAAGCTTTGAATATAGCTGAATGTGCTGTTATGCTGGATTGTGACTTTGATGCGGCCGGCGACAACGTCAAATCCCTGAAGTTTAACAAGATTGGAATTGGGGTTTTAGAAAAACAGTTTGACACATCTGCACTGCGATACAAATTGTATGCCAACCTGCATCAAAATGCAGGTGTAGCTCACTATAATCTGAATAACTTTAAAAAAGCAGAACATCATTTCTTGCAGGCCATATCGGCGCATGAAAGCGCATGGGACTACGATGACGAAAACGAACGTCGAAACATAATTCAAAAGGCACAGTCTGACCTTAAAGACACACGACAGCTTTTATAGACTCGTCATTTCAACCAACAAACTATGTATATACGTTTTACCCTGTATAATCGGGATCAGCTGAATTGTTTACAAGGCTGTTCATTAAAACGTCGTTGTCTTACTCAGAGTGATCACATACTAGTATACGTGCATAAGCGCTTCTGACGGTTTCCGACAAGTCTTGGCGAATTGTGCAATGAATGCAATTTCGGTGATATTCACAAAAAGCAACACAAATGAATTTCAAAACCCTCTTTATAATCGTATACTCGTTTAATGCATCATAAAATAATTAGCTGACTTTTGATTCGAAATATATACGTAAAACTATAATATTCATATATATTCAAGTGATGAAATATACCAGAACATCGACTGAAAATTACTATTATTAGCAAAACCGAATGAACAAATATAAATTCATTCGTTCGAAATATGATGGGTGTCAATATTTCAATTTACGTTGGTGACAAGTTTCAATTAGTCTATAAACATTTAATTCTCAGAGTCACATCTTTTGAATTCCACAAATGTCTGTGCTGACCAGTATGTTCCCCAGCTTTTAATTTTTTTTTGGGGGGGGGGGGGGGGGGGGAACATCGACTGAAAGAACATCGACTGAAAATTACTATTATTAGCATAACCGAATGAACAAATATAAATTCATTCGTTCGAAATATGATGGGTGTCAATATTTCAATTTACGTTGGTGACAAGTTTCAATTAGTCTATAAACATTTAATTATCAGAGTCACATCTTTTGAATTCCACAAATGTCTGTGCTGACCAGTATGTTCCCCAGCTTTTAATTTTTTTTTGGGGGGGGGGGACGTTAGAAATGTGTCAACTATCATTTTTCAACACTCTGAAAACGACAAATAACAATTCACGACATAATATATAATATGGTGATTTGAGGTTTTATGTTCCCAAATGCCACACGTAGGATGTTAGATTAGCCAGTTAATGAATACTTTTGTTGCTAAGCATTTAACAGAGTATCGGGGCGATGATCTTACGTCAGGCCGAAGTTATTAATATTATTACCTTTACCAATTATGAATTACATCAGAATTACAATAAATCTTTAACCACGATTTGATTAGCCTGTCCAGGTTGACAGAGTACCGTATATAATGACTTACCTGCTTTAATAAATAGTCCGACTTTGTACACTTCTCCTGTCTCGAATCTACATATTATCACAAGTTGTTATACCATCTATTTACGGTAATTCTTAACAAAATAAACGTGTCCTCGTGATTGCGATGGTTTTCTAGGCCTAGTCCAGCGTTATTCGGTGGCACTGAATAACATATCGCATTCAGGTGTGCGCCGCTGCACGATTTATGATCACACGATTCAACGTGACTGCAAGCGTTGGCAAAACAAGACACCATATAGTTTCGTCCACGCAGGCAAAGTTTCTTGAGTCCCACCTCGAAGTCTATACACCCACAACACCAGCGAGTCTTAAAACTTTGAGAAGTTACAGTTCACGGGAATGCCTAACTTCTAATGAAATGTAATACAGCGCAAGCCACTACGATTTGAAACTGGAGAGCGAACTCTATGATGGTCGAGTAGTAGGTTACTAAATCCGATTGAGTGATAGTGTTACGAGCGCCCATAATATTTCCTGGTTAAAGTTTTATCGAGTGTGTTACATTCGAAAAAGGAGTTGACCGTGGCCTTTTTCTAGCAACGTTCTTTCCATGAGTACCTGTATATATATATATATATATATCTCTATATGCACTGTTGTTTTTCAATTTAATAATATTAAACAAAGTCAAACCAGGTAATTTGAAAAACAACAGTGAAATTATATTAAAATAACAAGATTATTCCTATACCTGGTGGATGAAGAGTCTTAGTTTTCGGCTGCTCGCTGTGTACCGTGTCAGCCAACCGCTGTACCGGTAACGGGTGTTTTATTTGCCTACCAATTTCCTTCGTTTGTTTAAATGACATGAATTCCATTTTCGATTTACTGTGGCTTGGCAATAGGCTCTGTTTAATCAAGTCATATTAGCCCAAATTGAACTTTGCATCAGACGCATTGACTGCTGTTGAGTTTCTGCAATAATGTAGGCCTATGTGCTGGATTGTGAATAGATTTACTGCCTAACTAGATATTTGCCCGGATCCTGTTATAATGTTTGAAGTTCGCCATTATAATTGAATCAAAACTAAAAAATGACATCTGAAATTTCAATACGACTCATGGCATGAATACTGACTTCAGTGAGGTAAATCGAAGTGTGTTGTCTGCAAGAAATGCTTTCCAAAGAATTGATGAAAAAAAAGTACTACGTAATCTCGACTCAAACCACCCAATTAGCGTCGATAACCTGATAGAATTTGTATATAAATAAGAAGAATCGACTTGGTTGGTGACGACATGTCGTTTAGCGATTTCAGGTTATGAAATCAGCTCAATTTATTTTATCACAGAAACACATCATCCCATGCAAAATATACATTAATGCATCATGTGTTGATGTATTATATATACTAGTTTTACAAAATAGAATGTTTGTGAAATTTTTCTGCTTAATCCCAGAACCATCGTTTTGACAGAAATACTTGTCTAATCAGATCATATTTTTATATATACAAAGTATAAATGGTGCAAATGAACACTAATTAATTCTTTTACAATGGTGAATAAAAAAGTTCACTTTTTATCTCAGGAGTATTTAATTTCTAAATCCAGTTTATAATACTGCAAAATCATGAAGTATCTTACGCCAGTTGTTTAAAATTACACACAGAGTAACCCGTAATTGGGGGAAAATACAATGTATTAATAAACTCAAAATTCTATTTCTTCAAAAATTTGTAACACTTTTGTAAGTTCACTTGTAGAAGCAATACATTTCATTTGAGATGCTGTCGAGTAACTTTGAGCGCTTGCTTTACCAATTCGATGTCTCGTCGTTTGTCATTTGCGTCGTCGTGATCCAAAGCGTTTTCCTTCGCTTCAATTGCTCTGACGTAAGCTTTCTCAGCTTCCCTGTATTTTTCTTGATTGTGGAGCACAATTCCTAGATTATGCAACAATATGCCGTAAATTTTATGCAGCGATGCGTGTGCGCCAAACAACTTCTCCATTACGGCAATGCCACTACTTCTGACTTTATCACTCTTAGCGTTTTCTCCCATAGCTGCAAGCTCGAATCCAATATAATTGATGCACCATGCTTGTTTCAAGGTTTGTCTGTCTGGATCAGCTCCTTCTACAGTTTGTAAATCTTCAAGCATTTGGTTCATGTACTCAACACCGAAATCTAAGGCTAAAATACGTTTCCTATCTGTTCCAACAGTTGGCCTTTGATTGGTTGAACCCGCAATGATGCTTGTCTTATCCGATAAATTTTGAAGCAATCTTTGTAGCTTCGCACCACTATTCTCTGGCTCTATCATCTCAGTGATTGCATGATGCATGAGCGCCATTGACCGGAAAATGTTTTCAACTTTATCGTCAGGCTTAAGGCTGGAATCTTTTACAGCCACGTCACTTGCAATTTTATACAAGATCAGAGCTCGAACGTGGCACTTATTAGCGGTTAGCACTTGTGCGAGATCTAATATCTCATTTACGTCAGTGAATGAAGACTTCAAAATTATTTTTCTGATTCCATTTACGGCTTTAGTTGCTTTATTTTCTCTGCCCAGTTGTAAATAGCAGTCTGCAATCAGTAATTTCACTCCAAATGTAGTATCTTCCATGTCCAGTAACTCCTCTAGAATCGAGGTTGCTTCATAATACTTGGAATTGGACGCAAGTGCTCTAGCTCTTTCTGTAAACAAGAAGAACTGTATGAGTGGCAATGTAGATCAAAGTACTGAATGAAAACTCTGTTTGAGTATACTGGCACCCCGTCTTAATATGCATGGACACAACTGGATGTTGAGGCCATTCTCGTACAAGCTACTTTATCAATTGGTATGTTTGAATAAGCAACAGTAACTTATTTTACCTTCAATAACAAAATCTCTTTTCAGGAGAAGGATGGCACTGTCTTCCTCTGTTTCAGCAGTACTTGGTGTCTGTATAGTGTAATCATGAACGAAGTTGCTTATACCAGCAGTGCTAGACGAAGTGGATAATTCTGAAAAATGAATGAAAAGTAGTGTAGAATATAATCAATATTACCACTGGAATTGCATTACACAAAGGAATATCTAACAAGCTGTTTGGACGTGCATTATATCAAGGCGGTATACCAACAAACGCCTATATTTCGGTATAACGTTTATCATTGGATATTACATTTTTACACTTTATTATTTTCTAATAACTCTGTGAATGATGGATAGACGATGAAACGTTTCCATGGGAATTTAAAATCTCACCATTGCTTTTATCTCCACCAGCAGAACTGAGAAGGTTTCCCATCATAGAACTGAGTGAACTCAAGTCGCTTAAGTCCGGTTCTTAAACGAGAAAAATTTGCTTAATAAAAGGGATACACCCATTCGAATATATTTTTGACTGGGAACATTAAGTATGTCGCTGCTATTTTTTACTAAAGGTTTGTAGAGTTCGACTCTTCTCTGGATGAACAGTTGTAAAACTGTAACAGTGTTGAATACGAAAATTTATTCCGAGACCTTCAACTATAGCTACGATAACCAAATTATATATATATATATATAATATATATATAGTGATAGCCAACGCCTGGGACGCCTCTTTCGTTTATACTGGACATAAATAAATCTGTGAATAAGGGTTTCATGATCATTAAGAAATTTAAAAATCTCACCATTGCTTTTATCTCCGCCAGTAGAACCCAGAAGATTTCCCAGCATAGAGTTCAATGAACTCAAGTCAGGTTCTTGAAAGAAAAATTTGCCTAATAATAAAACATATGCAGAAACAAAATTTTTTTTTGTGTTTTACATTTTGGCGTCACTAAAGACAGTCCACGCAAGCAGTATGCAGTCAAGCATGTGCCTTAAATGGAATACTATCTTAAAAATTTACAAATAGTATGCCTACTTTTTCACTTCGGCGAGATGATACTATTCGGGTCGCTGTGATGTGACCTTGTCCGATACTATGTGACTAGCTATAAAAACATGTTATGCTGTAAGTCAGGGATGTGCAACCGTTGATGCATGAGGGCCAGATAGAAATAGCTGGTTAAAACCGCGGAGCGCACCTGCTCTTAACATGGGCTTTTTAGTAATTGCAGGAACAAATTTGGTTATTCATCTTATGGCATGCATTGTTCGGTTGACACAAGCTAGTGTTAGGGCGTTGTTAATATTAAATAGTGAGTAAAATCAATTTGGATTGGTCAATTATATCTATTTATTCGTAAATAAGCAGCACAGCAATTCCATAAATTAGTTGAAAATTTGGTAAAAATTATATCTTGCCCAATTGAAATATTGAACTGCAGAAAGTGTAGGACATATCTTGAAGTTTTTAAAAACGCATGAGAAGGTACATTTACGGCTCAAAATAATTGTTTTTTTCGGAATAATTGATGATTTTCTGCCTAATTTTCTTCAGTTTTGTAACATAAACTCTCGTGCTATTTATGTTACCTTAAAATGTATTTGTTCAACCAAAGTATGTGTTAAGTTTTACCTCTGATATCTGTGCTTAACATAAATATTGCACTGTACACTATTGGCAACACTGGGCTAAACGGAGCTGATGGGAATTTGCCTTGTGTTGTCACTCCGTGACAACTTTTTAACTTTATTTTAGTTATCTGATATATTTCAATAACTATTTGCCTCAAAAACTGAGACGTCACTTTGGGGGTAGGGCCCAATAATTTACCAATTTGGCAGTTGATAGTTGCTTGTTGTTCTTTCGCAGCACTTCAAGAGATCTCGTCACTCCGTGACGTCACGGAGTGACAAAAATATGTCATTTTTGGAAAATATTATTTTTCTGTACGCGAAGTACTATAATATTGGGTTTGAACTGCAAATTCTTCCACTTTGCCCTCTACTTACTTTGGATCTTACCCACAATGAAACTTGAATGACATGATTGAATGGCAATGGCACCTTTTTTTAAACTATCGATGACCCAAATATTTGACCTAACATGTGCCGGTTTTGAACAATATGAATGAACTTATTGTAGACTACAATTGAAAAAATATGTAATCTGTTGGAATGGCAGAATAAATATGGCAAAATGCATCGTTTTGCAATATGATTCGACATTTTTGTAAAAGGCGTAAGCGAATTCAAATAATTCACAAACAATATTAAATCTCAAGTTTTAACATCGACATCTGAATTTTCGTATATATCCATTTATCGGGTTAACTCATAGGATGCGAAAAATCATGAAATGTGAAAGAAATATGATACGTTTGTCAAAAATTGAAGATACTTCCAATTAGAAAACGCCAGTGCGTCATTCATTGTCACCAATAATTATTTTTACGTGCCAACTATATCATAAAGCTGGAAAAAGCAAAAAAGATGCAATAACGAGTTTTCGCAGGGACATATTTATCAATGTCTTCATGTTCTGAATATGCAGACTAAGAGTACTGTGTTTGGGGCCCACTGCTTCTATGTGTGCTTTGCAAGCAGATGCAAGTACTACCTAACAAGAGAGATTTCAACGCAAAAGAAAATGCTTTTCTATGGTTAATAAATTAGATATCCAAATAACAAAAATCGTCGCATGGTCAAAAGATTCTTAAACTGAATTGCATTAACGGATCCTCTAGATTCTGTATTTTGAATTGCCCATACTTTGTCAAGTCACTGCAATAAGATTCCAGATATATAGGAGTGGAATAATTATGTTTGTTTCATGTTGTCTGTGCAACATAGCTTTTTACTTAACTATATAGATTATTATTAAAGTTAGTGCACTCGTTTAGCATATTAATATGAGGGAGACACAAGCAGAACGACAAAAAAATATAATATATCCCAATTTTTTGTTAAAATGTTTTGTAATTTCAAACAAATAACCAATTTTGACCTAATACAACTAATTGTTCAACATTCTTAATACCATTTTAATGATAAGGAATTTTTGTCACTCCGTGACGTCACGGAGTGACATGCGACTAGTTGGGCCGTATAATTGGGCTGCTTCCTAAAAAAGTTTGTTGTACAAGAAATTTTGCGTAAATGTAGAGATTAATATCTCTAGAATACAGAGACAAGTTATTATATTTGATATGTCATGAAGCTTTTGACGAAATTTGGTTGATATATCGCAGTCATTTTATGCATTCAACTTTTTGTCACTCCGTGACATCACTTGTTTTGTCTCGTCGTTTGAAAAATATTTGGTTGAAAGTGAAAAGTGAATTATGGTAAATACATCAGTGTTACTGCTACCAATTGGCATTCTAAAAATAGCAAACCACCAAGACCTTGATATAGTAAAATTGATTAAATGTGTGAAATGTCACTCCGTGACATTTATGGAATTGCTGAGCAGTGTCTGAATAAATCGAGTCACAGGTATTAACTAGTAAACCATCCAACCAAATACAGATTTACATCGCTGCTCAATATAAACACATCGCTTTAAAATTGATGATAAATAGCCTACCTGCTACTGCTGGAATCATTGAGGTTCCAGGTTGTGCGTCGTTGAGGCTGCTTCTGAGAGCTGCCTGTAACATTGCTTCTTCAATAGCCTCGAGATCCATTTTAAATGTTAAGAACTGCGCTTACTCGTACTTACAAAGCGGCGGTTGTGACAAAACGCGGAACTTTAAAATCGACGATATCTGATTGACTAAAGACATTGACTAAAGTCACTCACGTGATGTCTTGTGTGCGAACAATTGGAACGACTCAGTGACGTGTACCCTTTGAAACAAAGTAGGTAAAATCAAAATGGGGGCGTTGAACAGCTTCTTATCACTCATTGGTCAAATTCACTTACATTCCTATCGGAACATAGGTGAAATGGCATATCGTCTGAAAAAACTTACTTACGGTTCAACTAACAACATAGTATCATCCGTATTTTAAAGATTTATTCAGAGTTGGTTATACGCTTGGGTTGAATGAAATAGACTGTAGCAATCTTTACAATAAATGTGTAACTCAGAGTATTGACACAAGCCGATGCCTTTTGTCCAAAGGCAAAAAAATGCACGCCAAAAGCACCGAGTAACAATGAAAATATATACCTTCCCGCTTTTGCATACAATTGGTGGTTAGGCTGAATCAGAGATTTAAAGTTTACCTAATTTTTATTTTAGTTTCATCTCAAAAGGTTAACATGTCACGAACCTTCTGTAACGTCCGTGTTTCATGTTGTGTAATTGTTTTTAGGTTCCCGTACACTGTTATGCGGACCCCTCATCAAGTCTGTGTTTCCGTTCTGACTACTGTACTAACAACAGAATTTGCACTATGGGCGTCCACGAAGTGGAGGTGAAAATCATGGGGTGTTTGAACACTCGGTAAGGGGATTGTATTATGATCATTATTTGATATATTTAATGTTTTGCAAATTGTTGTTGCTTGTATTGTTTTTGTTTAGGAAAAACAACCACTTTTCTTTGTAACTACTAGACTGATTTTTCAAATTATCAGTAGGCGAAATTAGAAGATTCTAATAGGAAGTTTTTGCTATTATATTTCTTCTGAGTTGGTCTGAAGTTAGAGGTTTGTCATGTTTTTGTTAGTTTTAAAGTAAATTACCTGATGTGTTGGCAAGACAATGCGTAATTTTTTGTAGGATTTGTCACCAAAATTGATCTTTTTGATTCGTTGAAAAGTCATATTTTATTTACCGGGTGACCTCCAAAAACCAGGTTGTAATTCAATATAATATATTATTACGTCCAAGAGCGTCATCACAATTCTAGCTTTAGAGTTTGGACGAAACTTGTCATGTAGGTCTGGGATGGAGTCAAACAAAACCCGTACAATTTTTCATTGCGATTGGACCAGAAAAAGGGGGTTATCTGATTTTGGTACATCAGATTTGCATGTGAGTTGAGGAACTACAGCAGGAATCACCCGGATTAACTGAATTATTAGGAACAGTCGATCAGCAGGAAACTGATAATTTGCTAAATGAACTGAGTGACTAAGATATAGAATAAGAGTGCCAGAATGATACTTAATTGTCATAGTTATACCAGAGCCGTTATATAATGGCTCTGGTTAGTGGTTATACAATACTTTCGAATTTTAAAGATGGCAAAATCAATGAATTTTGTCGTTTTATCCATATTTAATAAAGTTTCATAAGTTTAGAGTGATTTTGATTGAATTGTATTCCAATGGGAATCTCATGGGATGGGACAGGCATAAATTGCTATGAGATGAGACCGAAAAATATTTTCCATGGGCAAGCCTGCTAAACCTAAGTCATTTGAAACATATTCCAGATAGAACATTACCTTGGTGCAAAGTGTCCTATATTACGGAAACCTTTGGGAACATTCATACACAAACCGAATTTAAATGAATTTCTCCATTATCAAAGACGAAATCAAGAAATGTATTGGTTCTGTTTGTTGGGGTCAACCTTTACATCGGTCTAATATAAATATCACCTTTTTATTGCGAACTGAAATTCTAACATGCAAAATGGTTTCCTTGCTTCAGGAAATATCACATCGCTGGAGTTACCCTTTAAACTCGTTGCTTTGTTTTGCTATTTTATAGGTATATAGGAGAGCCAACAAATGGCCAATTTTGACCCCAATCAATTACTGGCATGAAAACATAATATTAGAAATAACAATTGCTGAACGTTAAAGAGCTTGATTATTGTTCGATGGACCCAAAAGTTTCAATTAATCTTTTTCTTCCAACTAGTTATTTATCATCCCGAAAGTTCAAATTCAACAAATTGCAAATATATTATTTCATTATATCATATTGTAAGTGAAATTGAATTGAAACACGTTTTATTATTCTTGTCCACAACGAAAGTAATTAAAAAGGGACCAGTATGTGTAAATCTGGCGTTTGGGTGCTGTTGTGAATTACTTTGCAAGTTCTTTCAATTTTTCTCTACACATCTGTATTTCTTTCCGCCTTGTATCCTCGTCGTCGAAATCTTGGGCATCTTCTATCGCAACAATAGCTTTTTCATAAGTCTCTTTCGATTTTGATCGCTTGTTTAGGATATCATACCCTACCCCTAAGTTATACAGCATGTTTCCATAAATCCGTCGTTGCGAAGCATGCTTTCCAAATTGTTTCTCCATAGCTGCTACTGCTTGTTCACGGAACCTGACTCCTTTGGAATTGTCTTTTATCATCCAGTAGTTGTAAGATATCAGGGTTATGGCTAATGCTTGCTTCATTACCCGTTTTTCGGGGTCAGCTTTGGTCTGCTGTTTTATTTCACCAAGTAATTCCACCATATAATCGATACCAAAGTCAATGGCTAGGACACGAGACCTATCACCAGCATTGATCATAGGGCGTGCACAATCATTAGCTTTGTTAATACATCTAAAAAGTCCATCTAGTATCTCATCAGGTTCTTTACCCATCAGGTAGATTTCACTGGCTATGGGGAGCATAATCAATGCACTGGTAAAGGAAGAATTCCCAATAAGATCGTCTATCAATGCCATTATGTCATCGACATCGGGAAAAGGATCAGATAGAATAATTTTTTTAATTTCTTTAATAGCTTTCGATGCTTTATTTTCTCTTCCTAGTTGCAAGTAACACACCGCCATGAGTAGCTTAATTCCTAATGTTGTTTCTTCATCTTCTACTGATACTTCTTCGAGAGTTGAGATTGCTTCGTAATATTTTGACTGGGATGCTAATGCTCTAGCTTTTTCTGAACAAATAGTAAAACTTGATTAGCAAACAGCCAATGTGCGTCGCAACAATAACAATATATATAGGCTATCACTCTTTGAAAAAACAATATTGTTGTAGTAGACATAATTTTTATCAGGTGCAAAAAAACTGGTTATTCTATTTCAACAATTACAGTCTATTCCATTCAATTTATTAAAAAAAAACACTTAATTTCCTAGGGCAGTAAACTGCCAAAGTTTGTCCACTTTAAATTTATTTCGCATTATACTTGGGTAATTGGATTTGACACTTTCACGTCATTACAGCAACTTTCGAATGCAAAGTACTTTATTTGGAGTAACTTTTGATGGTGAAAATCAACGAAGTTATACGTATTGATTGATACATTTCGAATGACATTTTATTTTTTTATCATCGTATTATTGACTTGGTTTTACCTCTTTGAAGAGCCCGAGTCCTTGCCTTTCGACTGTTTGCACCTGCTTCGTCTTTGGAAAGAGTGCTTGGAGACGAAGCGCCTTCTGAAAAAGTATGTGTTCTTATACTGTAAAAATTTTCAGTGTTTTCTAGTGCATGATCTAGCGTTACAAACTTTGAAATGCTAGATGGATATGTGTGTAGATGTGTTAGCAAATAGGCTGAACAAATCAGTTTAAGAAAGTAAAATACTTTTGTTGAATGTTGATACCAGCAATCGGCTTATCACTCAGATAAATAGATACAAAACCGGACTCAAGTACACCATATTACTTACCAATTACTGCTTCCTCAGTGCTTTCAGTTTCTTGTCTGTAGAAAAATTTGAAAATTGATCTCACTCATGATTTTTTCGTATTTGACAATGCATTGCGTTCACAGGACTAAGTTCTGTCACTAAGTGTGAAAACTCACTGTTATCACTTTATTAGTGTGATTTTCCAATACAGGCTTAATTAAAAGTCGCAGTCATTATGCAAGTACCATGCCATTATTTAGCTAACCTGATTGAAACGTTGGAAGCTTCGATCTCGATGTTTTCAATGTTATCTTCAGTAGTCATTTTGATGAGAGGATTGAGGTAAATTTTAATAAGATAAATATTCCACGCCGATCAATCGATGTGTCGTTCACGTACATTCCCATACAGTTTACAAATGAAATATAACGATAACCTTATTCACTTTATATCTGACATTGAATTATCAAACACAATATTAAATTCAACAATGACCTACACTTGTCTGGAAAGATTATGCGCACAAAAACAAGCATGTGAAAACCTGTCAAAACAAAGACTGGATTTCTCGATATGGCGTGTTGCGCAGGTCGGGTCGAGCGTTCATTGTGTTTCATGGTTTACGAGTAATTTGAACCATGTCTCCGTTGACACACAATACAATACAATTCACGTTTTCAATACGCGTCACAATACAATTCACATTTTAGTATGAGAATATAAAATAGCTATATCAATCTGCTCTATAGAAACGTTTTTTTTTACAAAATAGTCAAACTTCGCTGCCTCTTTTTACTTGCCATGGTTTTATTCGAATTTCATCGCAGATTGTTCACAACATTTTAGTTGTATTATCGTCTATTTACCTAGACATTAATCATTTACTGTTATCCAACAAAAACTAAATTAATGATTAACATACTGTTAGATTTTGGTATGGCTTGGGGTATGCTGAATGGGTTGATTCAGCAAACAACTAGAATACATTGGGAGGGTGAATTAATCAGCTTACTAGTTTTAACCACTCGATTGGGAAAAGTTGTAATAAACGTTGTGGCATGCCTTAAGTACCCCTTGTGGATGCAATGTCACTGTCGTCCTGTTAAAAATTCCGTTATATATATATATATATAGATCTGCGAAAAATCGTACCATTTTCAAGTTTTTTTTATACAAATAACGGAATCCGTAAGCCAGAGTTTATCAGCCGATTAAGAATTCCTCTAATAAGAGAACTCTAACTGTTCAGGGGAGGAATAGTATTACTAACATTATATACTTATTTTGTATTCTTTTAACGCATATTAATACACATATAATAAACTATTTAAACTGTACAAAAATCACAGCGCGATGTGTACATATCACTAGCTAATGATACAATATTGTAAAATAAACGGTAATAGAGAGTTTATGCTCTTACCTAGGGGCGAAATAAACAGTTCCAAAACAGAAAAAGTGGGGCAAATAGCAAAAAAGGTTGGAGACTACCACACTGAACTATCTGTTCTATTAAAATTGTGACTTATAATGATTTTGTGAAAAAGAAACATAAGAAGCTAGTCTGATTACGACAAAATAAGCTTGTTAAGGTATAATGTATGTGGCTAAGTTAAAGTTGGAAAAAAAAATTGAGTAATCCTCAAATTTTGAATATAATTTTTCATTAACATAATTTTTTTTATAAATAAGCATTCTCGGTAACGTTATTTGATCTAGAGGTATTCAGAGAATGTAGGCACACAACACAGTAATATTTAATTTATAAAGGATTAAAGTTTTATATCAAACTACACAAATGTGTTATACCTATAATTTCCGAGACGAATTAAAGCAAGACCGAATAAAATACAAACACAACCTTATACCTGTTTATAAAGTAAACAATTGTAAACTAATATTGGCCATGGGAATACATCATATGCATTCAATCTGTAGTATTAATGTCATACAACAGGATGCTGCTATAATTTAACCGTTCACTCCTTCAAAACTACAGAAAAAAAAATATTATCCATGTCTTATAGTAATTAATATCTTATTTATTCATTGGAATAAAAGGAACGTAGTATTTTTTGTTCGTGTTTGCGACATTGCTGTTAAATTACACTTGTTTTATACTTTCCACTCACATAGCTTAGTAGTTATAAATTAAATACATCGAAATTAAAATTGATGATAAAAAGAATATAATTAACCAAATAGTATGTTTCGACTCTTTCAAAATAAGTATATATACTCATTATATTAAAGGTCGACTTGTTTCATCTTTTTCTTGCACTCTTGTATGTCATTGTTTCTCTCCATTTCGGTATCATAATCTTTGGCATCCTCATATGCTTGAACAGCGTTTTCGTAAGCTTGCTTCGCAAGATCCTTTTTATTCAATATATCGTATCCAACACCCGTGTTGTAGTACAATTTACCGAGAACCCTTTGTTTTGAAGCATTTTTGCCGAATTGCTTTTTCAGTGATGCAATCGCTCGTTCTCGAAGTTTAACCCCTTTATGGTTATCGTTAATCTTCCAGTAGTCAAACGCCAATAAAATTGTAGCTAAAGCCTCCTTAGTTACTTGTTTTTCTGGATCACATCCTGATGTTTCTCTCAAATCGTCAAGCAATTCCGCCATATATTCAATTCCGAAATCTATCGCAATGATACGCGATCTTCCCTCCTTTTCTATCATCGGAGTGGTGCATTCGCTCGCTGCGTGAATACAGCGAAAAAGCTTATCTATCACATCGTCTGGTGAATCTAACTTTTTGTACATATCACTTGCTATCGGAAGCAGAATTAATGCACATGCATATGATTTACTTTGTATGAAATCGTATATTAACCCCATGATATCCTCAACATCTGGATTGGGTGCAGAAAGCAAGGCTTTTCTGACGTCCTTCACATATTTCATTGCTTTATTTTCTCTACCAAGGTACAAATAGCAATGTGCCATCATCAGTTTGGTACTGATTGAGGTTTCCTCATCTGGTATTCCTGTGTCATCAATTAATGAAGCAGCCTCGTAATATTTTGATTGAGATGCAAGAGCTCTCGCACGTTCTACAAAGTAGAAAAATAGTGTAACATCAGTATAATTTCCAAATCCGTTTGCTATTTACTTGCGATCGTTACACTGCTTTTGGAAAATTCCTTGCTAATTGAACATCGTTATTTGTCATAAATCGATCACGAATAGCAAATCAATTTAAACTGAGAAATGCTGATAAATGCATATTATTTTATATCATACAGATAGAAAATAATATGAAGAGGGTTTTATTAAACATTTTCCTTGAGCTATTTTGAATCCGCGCATCGCAATTATGGCTAATGATAATTATCGATTTGAATTACACAGACAAACAAACTTACCTTGTCGTAGAGCAAGTAAAATTGAGTCATCCTTATCCTCCATTTGGGTGAGATTTAATTTGAAAATTCACTATACTTTTATCTAAGCCTCCGAAATCAGCAAGAGCACTGCCACCAACATCTAGCTTGAAAGTTTAATTCTACTCTGAAACCGTTTACGCTAGTAATAAGAGGAACTGAATAAAGAAAGCACAATTGTCTATGACGTACGTTAAAATAAACACCCTGTTACGAGGTGTTCGTTTGGGTGCCTAAGCCTTATGTGAGTGTTTCTACAAACGGTAAAATCTAAAATGTTTATTTCTATTTTTAAAAGAATTATATGCCCCCCATATCAAATACAATCAACTTTTATTTTGACATACTTCGATAAATAACAAAATATCTATTGTTCGTTGTTCTCTCTCAAACATTGTGTGGAACGGTACATGATTCGCCTCATTGAACAGTGGCGACTGCGATATGACATTGCCTAAGCACAGTGTAAATAAGAAACCAACGAACAAACACGAAGTGAATTGAAAGGATTTTATTCGCTCGTTCATAGCGAGTAATTCTAACTAGCCATGTGTAAGGTTTTTGAAACTAGGTGATGTAATTTTATTGGTAGTAGTATGATACAGATATCAGCGTAATTTACATTAATTTTTTATTTTTTCACAAATGAAGCGAGGAAAGTGGTCTAAATTTCTCCCAGGATAGCAATGGATAATAACTGCAGAGGTAAGTTACTTGATGTAGGTAAAAAAATATCTTCTTATGTATATAGCAAGGATATCTGAAGGGCAGGGTTTTTATTTTTAAAATGGTTGTTATAAATCTAAAACCAGGGCGCCGTTTTGGAATGGTTATTTATCAATACGGATATAACAGTAAAATGTATCTAAATTAAACGATCTCTAAAAATCTATTTAAAAACTTAATTCTGTACTTTGTATTAGGGTAAGTATTCAGGGTAAAAATGAGGACTTTTTGCGCGTAGTGCAACGTATTAGACGGAAATTATCGAAATTGAGTCTGTCGCCTCGATTGACATTTCATGTAAGTTTGCTCACAGTAATTCGGAAGCTCTCGAATGGTAAATGTTGAGGCGAATACAACCACTGACGCACAGCTAAAAAGGCGTTTTCATTTTAGAAAATTAATCTATTTCGTGTGATATATATTCTACGAAATAGGTTAATTTTCTGATATATATATTCCATTGAGTGCAGAAAACTTAATCCGCATTCTGATTTTTTTTTCATTTTCGGTTCATGTTCAGACTCGGAAGAAAAGCATGGCATGGTACAAGATTTTATTTTGGAAGGTAATTTAATCATGTAATATGTTTTGATATAAAGTAACGTGCGTTTTCCTTCTGCCTCCCCATTTTAAACTTCCGAATACTTCCTAGAAAGAGCCCGAGCTCTCGTGGGTAAATGCAAATATTATGAAGCCTCGTCTCTGCTTGATAATCTTCGTGATGTGGACAGTGCAGATTTGGATTTAAAACTTCTAATGGCAGAATGTTATTTACAATTGGGAAGAGAAAATAAAGCAGAGAAAATAGAAGGAAGCATCAGAAAATATTTTATTGGATCAGGATTGGATGTTATGGATGAGATTATTGCCATCGTCGATGTATTAACTGCTGGTCAAGCCATACTTTTGCTTCGCATTGCCTGTGATATAGTATTTGCTTCTGCAAAGTCCCCCGATGAAGTGATAGAAGGGGTGTACCGCTGCATCGATAAAATGAGAACGTTTATTAGAAAACTCCTAGACTCACAAGGCTTGTCATCCCAGTCGGTAGAGGGTTTAATTGGGCAACTACAGCAGCTACAAGGACAACTTTCAAATTTATTAAGGCCTTTAAAAGCATTGAACTCGATCGATTCATTGTCAGAAAGCAACCAAAAACCTATGAATCCAGATTCGACCCGTCTCCAAGTCATTGGATTAGATTTCGGCGTTGATTATATGATTGAAATGCTAAACAAATTACTCGGAATAGAAGTTGAGAATACGGAGAAAAAAGCTATCAAATTAGCTTGGATTTGCAGTCATATTGGCTATAATCTTGCCATTATCAATGACAACACACGTAGCATTAACTTTCGTAAACGTGGTGTCAGTATACTTGAGTCTGAATTCAGAGAGCATGCAAACAAACATAACGTGTATGGTGTTTTGCTACATAATATTGGAATTGTGCTTGCAAATTCTGGAAGACGTGACGAAGCTGAATACTTCTACATTGAAGCTATAAAAGCTAAAGAGACAGCTGTTGATTATAGCGACACGAATGAGCAGCAGAAAGATATCAAATTGTCAAGAGATGCTTTAACACGCGTGCGCTCAAGGCCCATTTAAAAGCAATGTTCAGCCAAACGACGACATATTCAACATTTTCTCACTTGTTAAACTTACCAAAAACTTTGTTATCTGCCCATCGGCCCCATTAAATTGAGTCAATTTGAGGTAACTTTAAATTAGGAATTTGTCACAACATTTATAGAATATTTGACTTTGCCATCTTATATATAAGTAACATTTGGTAAATGATGGGTACGATTCCCAAAACAGTTGCAGATTGGCATTAACTTTGCATATATAAGTCAAAAACCAGTTTACCACGTTTCGTAGGAGGTACAAAATACAAATCATACACATTTAGTACTTGAGCACATAGGTTTTCCAGGTGCAAAAAACAGACAAACGAAAAATTCCGCTCCAGAGATGGAGCATCTCTCCGAGCATTCAATATGTTTGCTAATCAAAGTAACAGATCCCATATTTTTCCTATCATCGACGCTGCTCGATCTGTTGCGATGTCAATAAGATGTTTCACATTAAGTTTATGATCTTCCAAGAATTCCATCGCAGCTGTTTTTTCTTGTTGTTGTAGTTTTTAAACTCAGAAAGTAGAAGATTTTTCCCGTCACTTTCATTTGGCAAGTTGAGATTCATCGACTATATCTGTTGACTAATCAAATGCCAGAGTGAAATAAACAAACGTTTGTGTGCTTATTTTGGTGTGAAAGACTAATTTGACTCAATTCTCTAATCTTTTTCGGCGCAATTTCTTCCGCAGAAATAAGCAAGCACTCTTTTATATATTCACCATTCGTAAAAGGTTTCATTTGATTGGCAATAGTATCAGATATGCGCAAATGAGATTTTTCAATTGCGGTTGCTTCTGCTGAAGACTTCAGAAAAATATTTTGCTGAGCCTTCAGATTGCTTTTCAGCAACTGTAACTTGACTTTTCGCTCCCCACACATAGGTTAATAATTTCACTGTGCATGAGATCAAAGTGTATATTCGAATTATAATATTTCAAGCTCGAAACAGATTTGCGGCAAATTAAGCAACAGCTTTGTCTTTTACTTAAACAAAGAAGTAGGCTACTCGCGCTTAATCTTCTCCTCACGTTCCAGACATACCGATAGAGTTTGTTTTGTGGTTTATTTTTAGTAGACTAAAATTAAATTCAAAAAGAGAGCTATGCTCGAATATGTGAAAACGGAGACAAAAGTAAGTTATTCTATCGTCAATTCCCCGATAATCATATGCGGTAACTTACTACAGAGGGTACCGTTAACGGTACAGAAATTGTCATAGCTTTTTCAGGCACTGTGACTATGATTCAGTTCAACGTGAATTGAAATGCCAACAGAATAATAACAAAACGACCCATGGGTCCCACTCTGTGTCCAATATCCGTCGATAAAACACGGTGAGTAGTAGAGTTGAGCACAAACAGCATTCATGACTCCAAAAAACAGGACTCTGTTTCAACAAACAGGATCGGATCAGGAGTGGGAATATTCTCGGTTGCTCGGAGTCAATCAGGAGTACCACCTAAATATTTAATATAAGCGATAGAAGTATCGTACGTACTTGCATAATTTAAGCGGAATTAAATTATCCGTATATAACTATTAAAACATAATCGTGCCTCGTTTGGATGATACCGGGTGGATCCGAGTTTACCACTGTTGGACAAGTCTGAACGTAGTGTTTTGTAATTTTTAACAGTGTTTGGATGCTGTTGTCGGGTTGCGGCGAATAACTCACATGCCTGTATGTTTTATGAACTTGTTGCGCATTACCAAAGAAATGAATATGTAGGTGTCTTCAAAATGTCGTCTCCCACTTATACCACGTGTCCCATTTGTACCACGTTTTCCACTTGTACCCCCCGTCCCACTTCTCCCATTTGTACCACGTTTTCTACTTGTACCACGTGTCCCACTTGTCCCGTGCCCCACTTCTCCGGGACAAGTGTTACACGTGGGTCGAGAGGGACAAGTGGGACACGACATTTTGGAGACTCCGTTGTCAGTTGTCACTATATGCATGAGGTTATGTTGAACACAATATAATGGATAGATGGAATATGCCTTTTGGCGAAGAATAATGTTCATACTTAAATGTAATTGTGGTTATAAAGCACTGGTTCTATTTAGACTTTGAAATGTTTAAATGTGATTGTAGTGAATACTGAAACCATGAATGACCAAGCCTCGCGTAAGCTTTTATTCCCATGCTTTTGTAAAAATTGTTTTAGCGTATGAGTCATAAAATATGCTTAAATTGAGTCATGTTTAATAGACAGCGCTTAGATATTTAGTTTGAATTAGAATATGCATAAAGTTTTGGTTGGATGCCTATTGTTCATATGTATGTATGTATGTTTATTAGTCTCGTAAAATCAATATATATATATAAAAGAGTTATTATAAAAGTAATTATCAATACTGAAGACGGGATGTATGCACAAGACCATACTGGCCTAAAACACACGATGGTGCGGCATGCACCCCTTATGATAAGCGTAAAATACAATAAGTCAAATACGTATAATACGGTCATTTATACCAACCTTCCTACCCTGGCGGACCGGTAAAATTAAATGTATTCGCGGACCGGCAAAAAACTGAAATCACCGGAACAGAAAAGAATAGCATATATTTGCCTAATATAATGCAATGTCGGGCACTAAATATGCTTCTAGACAGAAAAGGCACATCAAATAACGTGCCGGTCAAAAGTTGAAAAGGGTGAAACATAAAATAATACCATATATTTGCGCAATGACATGCAGTGCTGGGCACCCATTATGCGTAAGAAATGCACGCATAAAACATCTCACATGAAAAACATGTACATGCCAAATCATGTACAAACACAGTTAACTCTAGTGATAATTTTGCTGCTGTTTCGTTTCCAATATGGGGTTGCAAACGAGGCCTCAGAGAAGTTTCTGCAACACGTAGCTCTGCAGCGGCGTGCAGCCGATTTCTTTGCTTCGTTTTTATTAAAGCTAGTGATGAAATTTTTTTCTCATAACGCAGTAACTGGTTGAAAATGCGGACAACGGTTTGATTGCTCGATTACTTAGCGAGGGTATTCGTTATCATTGTGACAGTGATTCTCTTCTAAATCTAGACTGTAAATTAAAATCACAATTTTAATCAAGCATTTTCGTTTTCATCGTATTCATCATATTAAAATCTGCAGTTGATCGATGCCTCAAACGAAATGGATTTACATTACAATGATAAAGTCGTCGGTAAGTTGGCACCATGCTCGAAGTCCTATATGTCAGCGGCTCATGCTTTTTTGCGCGTCTCGTGACCACCGCAGGGTGGAGCAACAAGTTCATATCTTACTAGAATCGGGGCCGAAAAAGCGAAAATTGTGATTACTCGGCGCCAAGATGCCGTGAAGGACATCGCCAAGATGTCGCGAAGACGTCGCAATATTACGGCGAAAGAGAAATTGCGTAATAAACCAACGCAACGTCGTCATCAAAGCGACCGAGACGGCATAAAGACAACAAAACAACGAAATTTCTCGCGGACCGGCAAAAAAGCTTGGCGGACCGGCACCGGCGGTTGGGAAACACTGCTTTATACAGACAGTTGTGCAAGGAGGGTGAGTGGGTGTGGTAACAGGGGCAAGGGTGAGTGTTTTTAGCAATATAAGGATATTGTAGCGTGAATGCGTTCCTACAGGTCTTGGTGAAATGCGTTGTAATAAATAAATTCTCTCAAGTTATTCGTTTTTCCAAGGTACTTTGTATTTTCTAGTTCTAAATACAGCCAAAAGAGACGAGGTCCACAAAACCTATCATGATCGCATTTCAGCCATCATAGTTTTTTCAGAATTGGATAAATGCATTTTTCAATCATACTATGGACCTTGAATTATTCCAAATGAAAAAAAAATTCAAATGGAACTCCTAAATATTCCTGCAATAAAAACTATAAATAATTTTGAATCTTTTATACGATCCCTGGCTATAATGCACGTATATCACTATAAGGGCTCAGAACCATACAATGATGGTGTGCGCGTTGTGGCGATTGGAATAGATAGATTGCACAGGCACTTTATTTTTGATGACGCGGTTCTTTTCTGATATTGTTCTCTCAAAGTTCAAAACGATTGTCCAAAGATGTTTATTGTTGAATAATTTAGTCAAAAAGTTGGTGAAATGGTAATCAAACAGAAATCCGGCAAAATACAGTGCTATGGACCTTTCCCCGACCTTTGACCCCCCGAAAAATTCTTCCTATACTTCACCATTGCAAAATGTTCGGGGCTATTTTAGGAGTGCTTTTGCGAGTTGGCGCCTGTAAAATGGGGTATGTGTTGTAAACCATCATTATGAATCATCGCATACAAAAATCTGTTTTTTGAAAGTACCGATAAAGAATTTTAGCCTAGTCTATCACAGCTATTTCTACACTAATTTTCTATTATTGCAATAAAATTAAAACTCCTAGGAAGACAGAGTAATCATTGAATTATCTGATTTATATTTAAGTTTCCGAAACACAACTGAAAACTAACGAATAGAGTTCGAAAACGCAAAAACGAGGTAATGTTTACGACCACGCTTGAAAATCTGTCTGAGTGAGAAAAGTGTCTGAGCGGATGCGAAAAGTCGATGCTCGGGGAAAGGTTCATTACACAGGAGGGACCAATTATAACTATATAACTATACAAATTTACACGTCCTACTTTCAAGCGACTCGCACCGAAGGGTCAAGATCTCACAAGTCACAATATAATTTTGATGTTTTGTTGGACATAGTAATGAGTGTGTGCTAGTGTACGTAATACAGCAGACTTCGCAATGTTTATATGCAGTTGTACTGAGCACTATAATTGTATAATACATAGTCCCCATGTAGTTCTAGATTCGGCAATGTTTAAATGTGAGTTTGGGAAACATGATAATGCATATTTTCAAGTGTTCAGATGTGTGTCTAATGAACATGAAATTCGTCAGCGCAGGTGTTGCTGCTGTGAACACTAAAATATGTCAAAATTAGATTTGTCAACAGGAGCGAAACGGGAGTCATAGTTTTCCTTGTTTGGAGTCGGACTCCGAATTCGAATTTTGATTTCGGATCAGGACGGATTCGGAGTGTTAAAATTCTGACTCCGCTCATCTCTTGTAAGTACTTCTATGTAACTCCAACAGTGACTATGTCTGGGAGGGGTCACACTCACAGGTCACGAGATAAACAACAGCAACTAAAATTTCAAGCGAGCCACACGAATCCTCCAGGATTGGACATCCCTGTCCCAGGATTGATCATCCCTTTCTAGAAAACGTTTTTTTTTTTAGATGAAAATATTTGGGTGCTTCTGAAGTATGCGTACCAAGATGGCGGACACCGGGCGTATCATGTGTACCGGGTTAGGGTTAGGCCATAATTTTATTCTAATTTTCCTTATTTTAGTTATATAACGAGTTCGGGACTAACCAAGTGACTACCGTAGTATTTGTATCTAAATTATGGTTTAACCTGGTACACATACTACGTTCCGGCAACAAATTCGCAGTTCTCATGGTCCAAAAACCAGTTTTACGTTGATCAGCAGGCCTGAAAAATTCCCAATAAAAATTGCTCTGGATAGTTACAGCATTTTTCAACGCCGTCTCGATAAACATTTGTTGTGTGTGTGTGTTGTCAGGTTGCTCAATAGCTGCGTTTATGTTTTGTTTGAATGACCATACCTCACAATCAAGCGTATGCGTGTTAGAAGGTATTCTATGTTTACCTCCATATTGATATGTCGTACAAAGTTTTTTTCAGATATCAGTGCCGGGGATAAAATGACATTTTTTATATCAGAATGGTAAATTGTAATTATAGTAGCTCTGTCTTTCGATTGCTACCGAATCTGCAAAATATACTGAAGTACTACTTCAGGAATTAATACCGAGATAATTTCTAATGTCCAGAACCACGTAACCCATTAATAAATGTAGATACGCATATAATTAAAGCTGTATATTTTGATCCATACTCAATCTCTAGAATGAAATTTATTTCAGGTGAGATTGATTGCTTTTCACCAAATACTGAAAATCGAGACACAAATTGGTGAACATTAGTTTCGACCTTGTTTCAAGAACAAGCCGTAACAAATCATGATGGAAACATTATTTCTAATTGTACTGATAATGAATGGTGTTTCCCAATCTCTCATCGTTTGGGTTGTTTCGGGAAACCACTTGAACTTGTGTATGACTCCCTCGTTTACGTTATGTTGAATATAACTGCTTCTGTTGCCTCTCATTCGAATCGCATTCCGAGGAAATTTGTATTTATTTTGCGCACTCAAGAAGGGTTTCATCGGCAGTTTTGTTTATGCAACACAATTTTACTTTGTAAAGTTAGCTTGCGTTTATATGAGATCATTTCGTTTCTTCGTCAAACAATTTTCTTAGTTCCGTTATATAAGAATGGTTAATATAGTATGTAAGTAGGTAGGTATTTCGAATCAAAGTCCCGAAATGGGACACGAGAGTAAGATACCCATTTCTGAAGACATTCACTTCGGCGGAAACGCGAAATATATTGCAAATATCGAGGGAATACCCCAGACTGACTGCCTGCCAGATATAAGCCCAGTTTTGGAAACTACCTCAAAATTCAGTAGCGCGTTGGTGTAAAAGCAGGTAAGGTATGCTTTTTATGTCGATTATCCGACCCGGGGCGTAATAAATTTGGTAGAGTTAAACGTTTCCGATGGGAAATCAGAATGGTGTTCAAGTCAGTTTGAATAAAAAGCTGGTTCTTTCACTCTCACACGGACAAAAATATGAACTCGTATACACACAAATCGGAATGTACTGCTTGTTTGCGTAATGTTGCGAACGGGTCAGTCATATTACGCTTTATTTAATTTCCGCTTGGTTGCCACCACTTCAAAACGATGAAAACCAGTTTCCGGATACCTAGCCAACATTCATGTCAGTCGCAACGAAAAGAGAATATCGATAACGACGGAAGATTTGGGGTGATCTCCCCTGGCTGTCGTGCACAGTTGCTTATCATCAAAAAGTTGTAAAACAACGAAAGTTATAATTCCCTAGCAGTTCTCTATAATCTCATTCTCTATATAAGATGGATTTCGAGATGCTAGAAACCAGTATGATTAAATTTGCGAAACTTGAATGGTTAACATCGTACGATATAAAAGATCTCCATCTTGGCAACTCTGAATAAATAAAATGTCAAAGGTAAGTTTGCTTTACTTGAATTTAAAAATTCTCGGAAGAATACTATAGAGCAAAATTTATAGACTTTTGAATCAAGATCGCTAAAATAGTCATGCAGGCCAAATATAGGCTGTGCGATGGGAGTTGCCAGTAGATCTAACTATTTATAGAAGTACCAGTAGACACTTTTGCATTCTATTAGATGGGAGTAAAGAAAATCCTCGAACTTTTTGGGGTATTCACTATGATTTGTTGTATCAGTCTATGAACAAAATAAATTGAAAAATAAATTTCCTTAATTTATTTTAATGTGTGAATCTGGTAAATATTTTCAACATTAAGTCATATTAATCTTGTTTTAGGTAACATGTATAATTCAACTGCTTTTTATCACAATCGTAGCGGTCTCCGTCCAAGATGTTACATGTTGGGATCCATAGTAAGAAATTATATTATTTTGAGAAACTAGTTCTTGTGCAGAACAAAATATCGTGCGGATAGCCTATATATCTATTCATATTAGAGAAGACAAAATCTGGCTTTAGATTTGAATGTATTTTCGCCATTTTGTTTCTTTAGTTGCCAAGCGGATTTTAACAACCCAAATCAAGTTTGGATTTTCATTTGTTTTATGTTATGCGAGTACACCATAAAAGGTTTTGCTGTCAAGAGCCCCGAATAATCAAAAATTAGCCTACACTCATGATCATGTTATTCAGTTCAGATGAATCATTGCTATTTGGTTGTCACATTAAGAAAGAAAGCAAAGTCGCCTTAAACCTGAACTCGTTCGAACCGAAGTTGGAAATAAAAGTTGAATGCAAAGAAGGGATCGAATTTACTACTTTCATGTGTCTACAGTTTTGCTACGATCCAGTCAATCAAAATTCTCCCAGATCGATTCCAGGCAAAGTCCTCAGAAACAAAGATTTGTTTGAGCAAAAAACGTTTAATACAACGACTCATAAACAAAGAAGAATAAAAGTTACCTATGGATGTAGATGTGTGTTGGAAGATAAATAGGCTTTTAAAGACCAACATACAATGTCCAATAATACTTCGCTATTTCTGCTGTCCTATTTATTTATTTATTGCAACATTATTTAATTTATTATCGTATTTATAACATTTGCCAACTACATTATTTACTATTTTCCTACTTGAACAATCATGTTGGTTAACAATTATTTATTTTTTGGGTATGCAATAAATATAGGTATTTATGGCTGCGTGTTAGTTATATGGCCCATCGATGACTCTCCTCTACATGAGTACACAAAGTCACAAACAGATGCGTCTCGGTGAACCAAAGTAAAAGTTCATTCCCTGGGTCAATTAAGCGCCATCATAACATGCTGTGAATCAAGTGCCATGCTAACGGGTATTCCGAGTTCTTGTCATGCCTAGATGGTTATGTGATCAATACTTCGTCACGGCTAATTAAATATATAGGTAGATTGTGGGAATCGTAAAAGTGAATATTTGAGCCAGACCAAAAGTTCAGTTTTATCAAATTTCATAATATTCAAACCCTCCCCTTTATAAATTTAAAATAGATTGCTCATTAGACAGAAAATGGCGTCATATATTCTAATATTATTTGAAAAATCCTCGAATGTATAAATCCCAATTTCATATTGGATTTAACCACATGGACTATGTGAATCTTTGATAAGAATTAAGCAGTGTGAGAAATAATGAACATTTTTATAGATCCTGACTTTTATTGTTAGATCGTGCCTACGTTCATATTTAGACAGGGGCTTATAGAAAAGAATTATTCATTTTACTAAACGATGTTACCAAGAGTCACTTTCCATTTTTCTATTTAATTTACGCATACCTTATAAATACTAACCAACACAGATCCATTTTGACATCATTATAGACTATAGAGACTGGGGTCATGAGCGCGAAATCCCATTCTCCAATAATAACAACAACGGAATATGCCATTTTATTTCCTCACTCTTTCGTTTGGCTAGTCGAATACGAAACATACTAGGAAGTAGTTGTCAGAAAATTGAAAAAAATAAAAAAACTTCGAAGGAAACAAATCTGGCTCTCGATTATAATTAATCGTCTATTTATACAATGACGTAGTTATTATTTATCGATTTTAATCGGTAAGTATGTTGATAGGTATTTGTCTACTTGATAGGTATATTAAATCTACTCCAGATTTTGCATATGCATTCATCATATGTCGTACCAGAAGCCTATTGATTTTGGATAAATTATGTCGAATAATTAGCGAGTTATTAATTAATTAGTGATGGGACACAAGGGGTCACTATGGAGTAAGAGCGCTGTTTTGGGGGATTCCCTAACTTTCGATCGATAAGTCTTTGGTCTCTCACCGATTTCTCGTTTAATATATCGCACTGTTACTGATTTAACTCCTATTCATTTTTGTGCTTTCAAGAACGTCGTAAAACTGCAGGGCATTTTTCGGGTGCACATATCGGGACTCAACACATGGAAAACTTCAAATTAAATTTGTGATGTTACTTTAAACAAAACTTTAACGTGTCAAAATAACATCGGAATATAAGTTTACTAAAGAATTAGATATCAACGTCATTTACAGCTACATCTGTTGTACATCTGGGAAATATATAAATGATAAGTGATTTCATGACCCCTTGCATAGTATTATTATCTAAATTTTTATGATTTATTTCGCACCTATACATTTCCCCTAAATTTTCGTTATTGATTACGTATGCGTGCTCAAACTTCATGACATGGACTGACGTCATAGTATAATAACGGGTTCCCCTTGAATAGTATCATGATCTAAATTTTTATGATTTATTTAGCACCTATACATTTCCCTAATTTTTCAATATTAATTACGTAAACAAATATATCTATGGGTGCTCAAACTGCATGACATCATTCTATTGACTGACGTCATAGTATAACGATGAGTTCTCATTTTCGTCACAACAATAGAAAAATCGTTTTGTGTGTGAAGCATAAGCGGAAGTGTTGTCAAATGACCAGGTTTAACTTCAAAGCAAATCAAGCTAGCTGTCGGTTGAAATAAATTGTAGAATTGCACAATTAGGTTAATATTTAAAATACATCACACTGCGGACACAATGAATAGATGTGTTTTCTGTTACAACATTCCTCTTTTCGTCTCTGTTATTGTAATGAATGGTGATATTTATATCAGGCGCAGATTCGTTATTAGCATTAATATCCTGCAGTTCGAAGTTTTTACAGTCTATTATTTGAAGGCTAGCGTCAGAAAATCATAAACTTACTTAAAAAATTGATAACAACATCGTTTTCAACTACTATAAATAATCAAACGAAATAGTACTTGTTGTGTAATTAATTGGTATAAAATGTTCACGGTGCCTGCATTGAAGTGTAGTTTTTTATATCTTTACATTCCGAACACAATTATTTCAATCTATGATTCTCATTCAGGATTCGAAATATAAAAAATTGGGATCCGGGATGAACAAGGAAAGTTGAATTTTTTGCCAAGTCACGATATTTTCGATGAGTTCGAAGAGTATGGCGCTTAGTATTTTAATAGCAAATGACTTTTTTTTAGTCATTATCAAGTGTTTATGTTAATAACAATCAAATACATTTTTTTGTTCAACTACTAAACGAATAAAGGTGTTCTAAGTATAATGTGAGATTTTTTTATCGAGAAATATCATGATATAGTTGTCATAAACTAAACATACCAATCCAATTGCTAATATAAAACTGGGTGTATATTGCATTACATGAATAAGAGGCATTTTGGCGATCTATAATCAGAACGGGGATTTCTGACAGATAAAGGGTTTTGTGAGGGGAATAACCTGGTAAACGGGACATATATGTGTTCCTCGACATTCCGCGATTTTATCAAAATGGTGATTTTCGACGCATCGGGGGTTAGGTGCGGGGAAGAATAAATTTATTATCTTTTGGTATATCCCTATTTTTATGTTTAGATAAAAATGTGAAAAGAAAGGAAAATAAACTGGTTATGGTAAAATCATGATTGATAAATTACCCTTTCCAATTGGACTTAATTTAGGGCTTTAGGCTATAAAACTGTACCATCGCTTCATTCCGCTGACAGCCAATCAGGTTTTCTTCCTGCAAAAATGCCTTTTTTAATTTTGTCTTTTAAATGTAATGTACATCTCCCCCCAAATTATTACCAAACTAAAACAGCCATTTTACCATAAGTTATATACATATCTATAATAACGATGATGATAAAATATGTCAAAATATTGATTCGGTTCAATTCTTTTTCAACAGTCAACACCTGTTATTATTAGCACACAACCTATGACTTCAAATTTGTCCTATATTATATGTAGTAAAGTGAAAGTATCCTAAATAAAGAACGGACGACGTGGTTTAACACAACTACATTGTTGTAATTTTGCGTCGCTTACGTTCAGATTGCTCAGCGGTATTTTCATTCATGAAGCATAAAAAGAAGATATCATGAGACTCAATGGCCCTATAATAATATACTTGACATAGTCGAACCCATAATTCGAGGGAGATAAATTGACAGCATAAATTCAATCGTTTGCGAAAACTTTCCCACACGAAAAATGGTCAAGTAATGTCATAGATCCTGAAAATTCTTGAAATTTTCTCTTTGTTATAGCCTTCTTAATTTAATTTTAAATTTGAAAAATTAGACAACAGAACTAACTCTGTGCGATGATGTGCGGAACTCCTTCGGGGTGAGATACACACTTGTCTAAAAAATCCAAATAAATGAATGAAATAATTAAATACGATTTCAACATTGCGTAACATTCGATTATGATGTCAACAGTATGTTGGCATCGGTCGTTAGATTTGAGGAAGAAAATGGCTGCTATCAAATTAAATGAATAGTCAACATTACGTAATTACTTTGTCTTAGCCTTTAGATCATATTCATTACATCACAGTCACAATTCTCAGTACTGTAGACTCAAATATTTTAGGGAATTGTCTATGCAATTTTCACAAACTGGTTGATGGGAATGGACTACTGTAAGGATGAATTCGATTTGTTTCAAATTACGTAATCAACTGACCATTTTAATGTTTGCCATTACTTACTAAAGTTGTTCCCCTTTCCTGAACTAACGAAAAGTCTCCCGCGGTTGGTAGTCCTGTCATTTTCTGAATATATGTGTTCAGGACAGGATAACAAGTGAGGTAAAAATATCCGACCTTACTGTAAGATTGAATGGGGGTTTTCAATCAGAACGATACTGAACAACGACCACCACACCAAGTTATAGCAATGTAGTAAATATTCATGGTGCAAGTATTTATTAGAAAACGACAACGAATTAATAAAACAATGTTTTTAAATAAATATCAATGAATAAAAAAAAAACAGAATAAAAGAGAATGTATGAAAGTATTTTCAAATATTTAAATAAACACTTTATATATATTTTACATTTTTATGACGTATATGATTTTGTATAATAAGGCAGGGCGAAGCATAATCATTGATAACTCAAGGTAAATCGAGGTCATTTTACTGAAGCAAATTTTGAATTGCTTGAAATGTTCACTTGAAAAAAATTCCAAGTGTAGAGTTTTTAATCACCACATCAGTGTCAGCAACATGAATTTAAGCTGAAAATGAAATTAATATTAAATTTCCTAGTGATACATAAAAAAGACCGTAAATATATCTTCTGAGGAATTAAAATGCAATGAACAACAAGGTTTTTTGCAACCATATGTTACGTTTATTCCTCTCTACTTTCCATCAGACAAAACAAAAGTTTTTTTTCTGACAAATCAACATTTTTAAATACTTTTCTTGGTTATAAATTTGGCTACCCTTCTTGCTGGATAGGGTTAAAACATTTATTATCATCATTCTTGCATTCATTATAACTGTCAGTAATAATTATTACCGATAATATATCCCCACAGCTGATGCGGGTTGGTTTGAGTTTCGTGCTTACTCGAGTGCAAACAGGTAAATGTAGCCGAGATATCCTGCAAAAGTCGAGATCAATATTTACATTACCTTAATCAGCATAAAAACGTATGGGCTGTCTGTTTAACCTGGAATTTTGACAGTTGCGATGAATCTCCGATTTTCTCGCGCACTCTTTTCTGAAGCGCCTTCTGGTTTCGGTCCATCGACATGCATACCGGCTATTTGCACAAAATCACACCCGAACTAATATTTGCTCTATCCCAAAACAGGGGTGTACAACCCTCGGCCCGCAAGGAAAAATTGTGCAGCCTGCGGAAACGTGCCAATTCTGAATTGTGTGTAGCCTGCGAAGCGAGGTTTCAATTCATTTTAATTTGGTACGTGCGAAGAATTGCGATCCCTTTGCGTTGAGGGGTTATACCTGAGTCAAACAAATAATCTAGCACTCAACTTATTCGCTGAGTGTTTACACAGGATAAGAAACATGTTACATCAGTAACTGACTAGAGAGAAAAAAGTCATATGTCAGAATTACGTTTTAAAAATTGGTTCAAATAAAAAAAAATCAGACATTCAGCTCGACCTTTGGCGGACATAAAATAAACAAAATGGCGGCGATTCGAAATATTTGTCTGAACTAATTTACTTTGTTCATTTTGCAGACCCAAACACTCCATTTTTGAGTTTTGTCCATATGAGGGACCTGATAGCATTGTACGAATCCCTCTTACAGCTACATAAAGTATATATACATTTTTTGTAAAATTCACAAAAATTCTTTTCAAATATTGTTACGTTGATTTGGCCACATTTAATCCAAAGATTTAGAAAATACAAGTGATTGCGATGGAATAAATACAATTTCCTTTTTTTTCCAAAATCAGAATAATTTGTTGAAGCAAATATCACGTAAAATTCGTATGCTGGATGGTCAATTTGGCTGGCCAGAAAGAAAACTCTGTTATCATCTATGTCAGTCAAAAATTCCGCCGTGGGGGAGTCTCTGGTAATAAATGACTGTAAAGTATCTCATTCAGTTATAATCGCATAAACACGAAAAACACGGATCTAGTAAGGCCCAAGATTGGAAGGTGGGTCATTATATCAATAATACTTGGATCTATCACTCAACCGAATCATGCGTACAAATGGAATCGATAACAACGACAACGGCGATCATGAAAATAAAACCGTTATATCTGTATTGGCTGAAACGAACGAGATCGTTATTAAAATTATTTCAATACCTTTTGTCTTTTATTGCGAGTAAACGGTGTTTTTACCGATCCCGAGTCGCTTGAATATGCCTTGTACCTTAGACGCACTTGCGGACAAGTCATTATCAATTTGTTTTTTTGTTAAAACAATTTCCCTATTTTTATTCTATTAGAATATTTAATTATATTATTTAAATAAAGTAACCCCGTCTCGTGTTACCGAAACTGCAAAATATACCGAAGTACTACTGGTATTCAATCCGAGGTTATTTCTGATGGTTGAAACCACGGAACTATTAAATGAAGCTGTATCTTTTGACTAAATTTTATTTCAGGTAAAATTGCTTTTTAACAAATAAAGAATTGAAAATCGAGACACAAATTGGTGAAGATTAGTTTTGACTATGTTTCAAAAATACCTCATTACAAATCATGATTGAAAACATTATTTCGAATTTTACCTAAAATGAATGATGTTTCCCAAACTCTCAGCGTTTGGGTTGATTGTTTTGGGAAACTACTTGAACCTGTTTAATTGAGGTTTCTTTGTTTACGTTATGTTGAATATAACACATTCAGTTGCTTGTTATTATTGTGCGCTCTCAAGAAAGGTTCCATCGGCAAGTTCTGTTTATCCAAAACAATTCTATTTTGTAAATTCTGCTTGCGTTTATATGAGATCATTTCGTTTCCTCGGCAAAACAATTTTCTTAGTTTCGTTATATGAGAATGGGTGATATGGTATGTAACTAGATGGGTATTTCGAATCAAAGTTTTCAAGCGGGACACTAGAGTAAGATACCCAGAACTAAGGACATTCATTTCTGCGGTAACGCGAAATATATTACAAACTTCGAGGCAATACCCCAGTTATAAGACCTGGTATTGGAAACTATCTTAATATCACGGTAACGCATTAGTGTATAGGCAGGTAAGGTACTTGATAATGTTACAGTCAAAGAGGTGTTGGTCGCCATGCCCGGTCCTGCTTTTTCATGTACATTATCCGACCCAGGACGTAATAAATTTGACGAGGCCAAACGTTTTTGATGTGAAAGCAAAATGATGTTCGAGTCAATTCGATTAAAAAGCTGGTTATCCCACTCTCACACGAACAAAGACATACACAGGTATACACACATGTTTGAATGTACGGTTTGGTTGTGTAAACTTTAGGGTCAATCATATTCCGCTTTGTTTAATTTCCGGTTGGTTGACCACCGCTACAAAACGATGTAAACCAGTTTCGAGGTAGCTAGCATTCATATCAGTCGATACGAAGAGAGAATATCGATAACGACGAAAGATTTGAGGTGATCTCCCCTGGCTGTTGTGCATAGCTACTCATCATTATAGAATTGTAAAACAACGAAACTTATAATTTCGTAGCAGTTCTCCAGAAAGGTACATAAGATGGATTTCAAGACGGTAGAAATCAGTCTGAATGAATTTGCGAAACTTGAAGGGTTAACAACGCACAATATAAAAAATTTCCGCCTAGGCAACTTTGAAGAAATATAATGTCTAAAGTAAGTTCGCTTTACTTGAAATTGTAAATACTTTGAAGAGTACTACAGAGAAAAATTTGTAGAGTTTTGAATCGAGCTGGCGAAAAATAGTGAAACAGGTTATGAGTTGCCAGTAGATCTAACTCCTTTTAGAAGTACAAGTACCAGAAACTTTCACATTCTCTTAGATGGTAATAAAGCTGAAGTACTGGAGCTTTTTGGGGGATTCATGTTTGGGGCTATATTGGTCTATGAACAAAATAAATTTAGTTGATTTATTTTAATTTTAAATATTTTTAACATCAAATAATTTTCATCGTCTTTTAGGTAACATGTATGATCCATCTGCTTTTTCTTGCAATCGTGGCGGTCTCTGTCAAAGACGTTACATGTTGGGATCCCTAGTAAGAAAACATTATGTATTTATTTTATTTTAATGAGATAGTTTTAGTGCATAACAAACTATCGCGGAATAGTTTATTCAACTTTTTACACTATGGAGATCATATTTCATCCTTTGTTCTGCCAGATTTGAAATTATTTTCGCCATTTTCTTTTGTACCATTGTTGATTTTTTTTTAGTTGCCTAGTGGGCTTTAAAAACCTAAGTCAAGATTGGATTTTCATTTGTTTCATGTTGTGCGAGGAGCATATCATAATAGTTTTATTAATATTTGTCAAAAGCCCCAAATATTCGAAAATTATTTTACACTCATCATGATCATGTTATTCAGTTCAGATGAATCATTGCTTTTTGGCTGTCACATAAAGAAAGAAAGCAAAATCGCTTTAAACCTGAACTCGTTCGAACCAAAGTTGGAAATAAAAGTTGAATGCAAAGAAGGGATCGAATTTACTACTTTCATGTGTCTGCAGTTTTGCTACGATCCAGTCAATCAAAATTCACCAAGGTTGCTTCCAGGCAAAATCCTCAGAAACAAAGATTTGTTTGAGCAAAAAACTTTTAATACAACGACTCAAAAACAGAGAAGAATAAAAGTGACATATGGATGTAGATGTGTATTGGAAAATAAATAGGATTTGAAGACCGATTAACATTGTACAATAATACGTCGTTATTTATGACTGATGTCCTATTTATTTATTTATTTATTGTAAGAGTAATTAATTTATTGTCATATTTATAACATTTGCCAACTACATTATTTACTATTTTTCTACTCAAACAATCATGTTTCTTCACTATTATTTATTTTTTGCTTATGCAATAAATATAGTTATTTATTGCTGAATATTAGTTATATAGTCCGCCATAATCACAATTTCATATTAGATTAACCACATAGACTATGTGAATTTTAAATAAACTGAGTGTGAAAAATTATATATATTATTTTATAGATCCTAATTTATATTATTAGACCATGGCTTATTGGGTAATTTCCGAAACAATTTTCCTTGAAACAGCATTAGAATTTGACTTATTGGGATTTATTCTCCATTTTTTTTAAATTTATTATATGGATTACGTAAGCATGAATGGTGTCATTATGAGTAATGTTTTTAAACACGTTCATATTTAGACAGGAACGCTTTAATGAAAATAAATATTTAATTCTACAAAAGAGGATTTACGCATACCTTGTAAATATGAACCAACACATATCCTTTTTAACATCAATATAAAGACTGGAGTGAGCACAAGTTCCTATTCTCCCATCACAACATTTTGTTTTCCTTTTCTCATTCTGTCGCCTGGCTAGTCAAATAAGAAACATACCAAGAAGTTGTTACTTCGAAACAAACAAATCTGGCTGTCGATTGTAATTGATCGTCTATTTAGTATTTATACAATAAAGTACATGTTTAATATATCACACTGTCACTGGTTTAACACGTAATTATTTTTTTGCTTTAAATAACGTCGTAAAACCCCAGTATATATTTCGGGCTCAGATATCGGGGCTTAACATATGGAATACCCCAAATCAAATTTGTGATTCTATTTTGAACAAAACTGTTACGTGTCACAGTAACACCGGAATATAAATTTGCTGAAGAATTAGATATCAACCCCATTTACTGCTACATCTGTAGAAGTTGAATATACCCAAAAAATTCAACAAGGGGAAATATTTGAAATATTCTCGATCGTACAAATTCCAATTTGTAGATCCTGGCTCATATTATATTGTACCTGATGGGTGATTTCGTGAAAAATTACCCCTTGAATAGTATGATTATCTATATTTTTATGATTCATTTCGCATCTATACATTTCCCCAAATTATCAATATTGATTACGTAAACATCTATCGCTATGGGTGCTCAAACGTCATGACATCATTCTGTGGACTGGCGTCATAGTATAAAAAATGGGTTCTCATTTTTGTCACAACAATAGAAAAATTTATGTCTGTGTGTGAAGCATATGCGGAAGAGTTATCAGATGACTAGATTCAACTTCAAAACAAATAAAGCTAGCTGCCGTAAATAAATACACGAAACAGAAACATCTAATTAATTGGTATAAAATATTAGGTATGGTGCATAGAAGTGTAGTTCTTAATATCGTTACATTCCGAACACAGTTATTTCAATCTTTGATTCTCATTCAAGATTTGAAAAAAAAAAAATTGGGCTCCGGGATGAACAAGGAAAATTGTATTTTTTGCCAAGTCACGATTTATTCAATGAGTTCGAAGAGTATGGACTTTTGTATTTTAATAACAAATGACTTTCTTTCAGGTATTATTTAGTGTTTATGTTAATAACAATCAAACATATTTTTTTGTTCATCTACTAAACGGATATGGTGTTCTAAGTATATTGTGGCTTTTATCGTGAAATATCATAATATAGTTGTCATAAACTAACCATATCAATCCAATTGGTAATATAGAACTGGATGTCCATTGCATTTCATAAATGAAAATCCTTTTTGCCGAGCTATAATCAGAACGGTTATTTCTGATAAATATGGAGTTTTGTAAGGGGAATAACCTGGTAAACGGGACATATTTGTGTTCCTCGACATTCCGTGATTTTTTACGCATTTATCAGAATGGTGATTTTCGACGAATCGGACGTTAGCTGCGAAAAAGAACCTGGTCAACGGGGCGTATACGTTTGTCAGGGTCCAATAAATTACATTGTTATGTTTGTTATGTTCCTATTCCTCTGCTTAGATAAAGGAAAATAAACTTGTTATGGTATAACTATGCGTGATAAATTACACCTTCTAATCGAACTAATTCAAGCTGTTAGTACGATCGCTTTATTCCACTGACGGCAAATTAGGTTTTCTGTCTGCGAAAATTCCTTGTTCAATTTTGTCCTTAAAATGTAGTGTACATCTTCACCCAACTTATTAACAAAATAAGACAGCTATTTCACAATAATGCATGATACTTATAATAACGATGATGATAAAATATGTCAAAATATTTATTCGGTTCAATTCATTTTTAACAGTCAACACCTGTTATTTTTGAATATATATATTTACCGTGATAGTAGATACGTTGGAGAACACACACCCACATACAAAATATCATGTTACGTCATAAATTTAAAAAAATTCTTGAAAACGTTCTCTTCGTCATAGCTTCTTCAATTAACTTCGAGTTTGAATAGGAAGACAACAGAACTGGCGTTGTGCAATGATGTGCGGAACTCTTTCGGGGTGAGAACAAACTTGTCTAAAATATCAGAATAAATAAAAAATAAAAATTAAATACGATTTCAACATTGCGATATCATTCGATTATGATATCTACAGTATGTTAACATCGGTGGATTCATTTGAGGAACAAAATGGCTGCAATCAACTTAAATAAATAGACAATATTACGTAATTAGTTTGTCTTACAAAGTAGATCCTATTCATTACATCACAGTCACAATTCTCAGTACTGTAGACTGTTAACATTTTAGGGAATTGTCTGTGCAATTTTCACGAACTAGTTGTCGGGAATGGACTATTGTAATGATGAATTTGGTTTATTTGATTTGTTTCAGATTATGTAATCAACTGACCATCTCAATGTTTGCCGTTAGTTAGTGATTGAAGTCATTTTCTGAATATGTGTGTTTGGGACAAGGTAACATCACAAGTGAAGTAAGAATATCCGATCTTACTGTAAGATGTTTTAATCATTTAATGGGGTTTTTCAATTAGAACGATACACTCACTTTGTGGAGTCCAACGAACTATTCTGAACAACAATCACCCCAAGTTATAACAATGTAGTAAATATTCATAGCGCAAGTATTTATTAGAAAAATGAAAACGAATTTATAAAAAAAATGATATCAAATAAATAACAATAAATTAAAAAACAAGAATAAAAGGATGTGTGAAAGTATTTTCAAATAAATATTCAAATGAACACTTTATATACATATTACATATTCAAGACGTATTTATGGATTTTATATAATAAGGAAGGGCGAAGCATAATCATTGATAACTCCAGTTAAATCGAGGTTATTTTTGAATTGCTTTAATGATTTTATAATTTTCAAATTAATATTTTTTCATCATATGTTGAAGGAAGTAATGTACGCGTAAAAAAGTGTAGAGTTTTTTAATCACCATATCAGTGTCAGCAACATGAATTGCAGCAAAAAATGAATTCAATATTAAATTTTACAGTGACACATAAAAATAATTCAATAAATATCTTCTGAATAATCAAAATGCAATAAACAACAACGTTTTTTGTAATCATATGTTTTATATTTAATTTCGTGTCGGGACCGCGTCTAAGAACATCGCTCCTGGTTTTGGTTTCAGTTTAAAAACCAAAATCTGTTATGCTTTTCACCCATGGGTTCTATTTTTGTTCATGCCGCTGTTACCTGTATACTATTGATTTCTACGCTTCACTTCAATGCTTTTTCACTATATATATTGCTTCGATACGGATAATATATACCCACAGCTGATGCGGTTTTGTTTTAAATTCCGTACTTACTCGAGTACAAACAGAAAAATGCAGCCGAAAATACCGTGTACAATTCGAGGTCAATATTTTACATTACCTGAGCCATCTTATAAACGTATGGGCTGGAATTTTGACAATCACGGCGATTTCCCGATTTTCTCGCGCACTCTTTCCTAATGCGCCTACTGGTTTCGGTCTATCGAAATGCATACCGGCTATTTGCACAAAATTAACCTTGATCTACCATTTGCTCTATCCTGAATCGTCGTCAAAGCTACCGTTTGGCGGTATTTGAGCAAATATAAAACTAAGTGAGTGTAAACAATTACCAACGTATAAGCAATTGATGCCCCTGTATGTACAGCACCTGGGCAGGATGAGATTTGTGCAAGATGTTTTTAATTTTGGGTTTGCCAGTCCGCTTATATCTGCAATTATTACGGCGCACAAGGTAAGAAAACAAAATACGTTGACCAATCTTTCAAATGTCGAGATCGTTGTAAGCCCAATGGAGCAGTCAATATCATCAATGGCTGAAGATGTTTTTTGTTCGCAAATATTGCACAGAGGTATACTATTATTCATCGCGATTTGGTCAAATGTGCTTAAATTACTCTGGAACTATTTCAAATCATCTGTTACCTGTGAACCCCCGAATTAAAGGCACGAAGGTATGTGACTTCTCAATTATATTTATTCAATCATGTTGATGATGTAACGGTGCTAAAACAGTACTACTGTAACACAAATCCTTCATCAAATTTACTCAAGGAAAGAACAATTTAATACCGCAATAAAACACAAATAAGGAAACAATCAACTTTCATTGTACAAATATTCTGTCTATACTGTAGGTAACCTAATAAAAGTATACGGACGAGTCCACTCAAATGGCGACTAACGTCGTAGATCAATCCACCTTATATTAATCCTTCACAGCGGGAAGTCCCCTAACTTACTCATTGCGCAAATAACTTACAATTTGGATATTTACCTCTAAATATAAGATTGTGTTGTTCCCTTTCTCGAAAAAGACCGCGATGAGTTTTTCGAGATCTCGGAAATTTCTACGTTAACGAGTCAAACGAGTCATGGCAAAGCATGATGCAGGAGTATATTAGAAAAATGTACACAAATTCGTAAAAATATTTTAAATAAATAATTTGGTAATTAATTTATGATTAGATTATTTACATATATGTGGCTTATTTTTATTATTGTTAAGGCAGGCAGGGCTAAGTAGAATTAATAATAATTAGAGTGTAATCGAATTTATTAAGTCGACATAAATTTCATATGGCATAATTTTTTTCTATTTTAGTTTAAATGTTGATACAAGTCATGGTAGAAAAATTGAACTTCCTGAAGTATGCGCACCAAGATGGCGCACAACCTGAACTCAGGTTATGTACCAGGTTAGGGTTCAGGTTGTGCGACATCTCGGTGCTCACACTTCAGGAGTACCGAAAAATTACATACTGTGCAAAAAAGAAGTAACATAAACCTGAAATACGGCATTGTCCTTTCAATAAAAATGAAATATTGGTCTGCGGGCATTCTCAACATCGTATAATATTACATCGGGAATTTTAGCAGTAAACTATGATTGAAATCCAAAATACAACAACTCAAAAATATGCTGACAACGATAAATATACATAAATAAATATATAAATAATCTGCGAATAAATATAATAATAGCCAAAATGAAGTTAATTGTCACGTTTCCGAGGTCTATCTACCAGGACACATCGGCAGCCATATGTGACGTTTACCCTTCTTTGCGTTCCATTAGGCAAATCGAAAGTTTTTTCTTCAGACAGATCAACATTTTCGAAAACTGTGTCTGTTTTCGAAACGGGTGACGCTTGTTGAACAGGGTCGTAGCAGAAGTTTAAGCACATGAACGTTTGGAACTCTATACCGCCATCGCATTCAACATTAACCATCAGTTGCGGTTCAAACGAGTTCATGTTCAACTTGACCTCGCTGTCTTTTGTTAAGTTACATCCAAATCTTATCGCTTCGGGCGAACTGAAAAAAAATAGAATATTTGTGTTTTTATTTCAAAATTTTAAAAATCACGGATTTGATTAGTATTTTCGATGTTCAAGCTAGAACAAAACGTCCAGATTGGAATTTTATTTCCTGTGATCCAGCGCCTAAAATTGGTTCCAACCAGGACCAAACAGTTCATATTGTAGTTCAGAATAAATGACACATCTACTCGGAAAAACACCTGCAAGAAGTACCACACTAAAATTCTATTTATCTCGACATTATTTGGGCCAGAATTTAAAAATCAAGCTCGAATCACAATTGTATGCAACTTTTCGTTGATAGTGGAATTCAGTACCTCAGCTCAGTTGATTTCCTGTTTCTATTGACGCAAACGGCTTTAAATCTTGCGTCAATCGGTGGTATTTACCAATGCGCAGTCCTACATTATAACGCTTTTAGTAGCTCTTGGCCTTTAAGTGGTCACCGTAGCTTCGCTCAGTGATTATCTTTTAAATCTCACGCCTTCTTATGTTCGAACTTTCGAAAATAATAGAAATAAATGGCTTGTTTAAAATTTTACACCTTTTACACAATGTAAATACTTGGTAAAAGTCTAACTAGAAAAATATCTAAATTATACATACTTGGGGTCCCAACATGCAACGTATATCGGACCAAAATTCGACATCAACATTGCCATCAGCGGTAAATTGAAAATTTTCCTTATCTGTTAAACAATGTTGAAATATATTGCATATTCTAAGTTGAAGGTGACGCTGATTTTGTTTCAACACTTACTTGAGCCATTTTGAAATTTTCCTTTACAATTGATAGAAAATGTATTTCAACGCCGTTAGGTTTTCAGTACAATTATCAGTATTTAACTTTTGTTGCCTCGTTTTCTTTTCCGGAAAATATAAATTTTGTCTCGCTGTTCCCTTCTGTTTTCTTTCAGATGTTAGCTCTTACTATTTTCTGTACGATATGACATCTCTTTTTATACTGTCCACTATCTCCGCAAAATGGGCATATATATCGCATTTAAGTAACCACCTATTATTCTACCTGTTGAATTCCGAAATAATGTAATTCCGAAGTTTTTGGTTCTCCAATTGATTGGCTATGATATCTATGTATTATGGAATTTGGACTTAGGTGGAAGCCACGGTGATTCCCCGAATTCACACACACCCGTAAAGCGCCCACTGGTTTCGGTCTATTAAATTCCGTGGCCGTGTGTACACTAACGCCAATTGGTCTAATATTTGCTATATGTTTGAGCTACCGTTTAGCCATATCTGAATAAGTATGATAATACGAAATGAATGTAAACAATGTTTTTTTGTAAATAATTATTGTTCGTATTAGGAACTGACCTCGGCGTACAATTTCCAAACCTATTAATTGATGTCACCCCTTATAAAATGATGTATTCGTTTTATTTCGGAAGTATATATCCGCCAAAGTATCGACTATAACCCGACAATGATGCAAATTTTTGGAATTTAAAAAAATTCGTTGTTTTTCTTTATCTATATTCTATACTCATTGCTTCATCGATACTGGCCCTGTTTGAAAACAATGGTCAAAACAGATAACTGATATCAAGAAAATTCATGCTCATTTTGAAGACAACTGTTCGTAAACATATTCAAAATTGGATGTCAAATACAAAACTAATTAGAATTGTATTTCGTAGGTGTTATAAATTAGCATCTAATATACCTTCGTGATATCAACCGAAAAGTTATTGCAATCTAATAAAAACAAACTTGGGGTAATTAGACCAAGTTATTTTCAAATCAAATCGTATAAGCACAAGTTCAATTGAGCCCTTCATAATATACCTTGCGTATGGGTGATTCTATTCGCATACTTGCCATTGAATAGACTTCAATTGTCCTTGACTTTCTTCTCAAGTGGTTGGAAAATAATCACAAATCAATAAATTTTCTAATTCTGATGATCCCATGATTTAACTATTAAACGTTCAATTGAAGATGAGAAAATGGCTCACGCAGTTCATAAGAATGTAATCAAAACTCTTTTGTTCGGTTAAGTTGAATCATGATTTGATGAATAAAGTATATATTTAAATCTAAATACTGTGAAACAATAAGATTACAAAACGATTACTGGTCATGATTACGTATATTGTGAGCAAGCAGGAGATTTTGCTGTGGTTTCAAGGATTAGTGAATTATAAGCTGTTAAGAGCAATTATTTGTGAAAAGGTTAGAATAAAAAACTTTTATTTATTGATCAATAGATATGGTTCACCAAACAATACTAGAATTTCTTGAAGCGTCTGATGATGGCTTCTAATTTTAATTGTATTGAATATTAGTCCTTTTTAATTTGAAACTGTGTGAAATGAGTTTTTATATTTCGAATCCACTTGGCTTCGTAATAAATATTACAAATTGTTTATAGACTTACTTGTTAACTTGTACTTATTAGCGACACATAACCTGCCAAACAAACCTATTATCGCCGAAGGACGAACGAGAATATGTAAACGGTAACGTAATGGAGGAAGCTGAGAGTCCTCTCAGTACGCCATTGTCTATAATCATAAGTTGGAAACCACCATTCCCATATCTTACAAGGAATATAGCATTAGTCCAGTTTACCACCTACTCAAACAAAGATGGATATTGCGAAATGTTCTTTTCTGAATTTATAAGTCATTTATGACTGTCACTCAAAACATACTTCCTTTTAAGTGATTTGGAATTTTTCCAACCATCAAATTTTATAATGATAAAATTTATACAGCGTGAATTGAGACATTCCAATGTTCCAATATGTTGTAATAGTTAAACCTCTAATCAAAAATGGGATTTTACACAGAATACGATATTTTATTTTTAGCTTCGATTAATATCTTATAAATATTATATTATTATAAATATTCAAGAATATGATGACATCTCCAATGTATTAGGAGTAATTTCGAAATTATTGTTCGATAAAAATGAATTTCACTAAATAAACGTGCTAATGCACTCAAAAACATGTTACTGTCGTTAAAAATAGATAAAACGTAGTTATACCTTATTTTATAGAATTTGAATTATATTTTAAAAGCAGTGATCAGTCATCTGGTTTTTGAATTATTTATGCCGTAATGTGTTCAAATACATTACATTATAAGTTGTCCACGATTTTATAAATACCCCATTAAATATTAGTAAAGTAAATATTTGTTAAAAAATACCCATATGTTGGACTAGATATGGGCAATATGGTTCATTCATTGCGCAGAGGTATAGGTTTGAGAATATTCGATTCACATATACAATAGTTGCCCGTTTGTTTAGCCAAACTTCTTTACACGCAAATCATACAAAACCATGTTACGACACGCGTGGTCCGGATGCTGAACAGATTGAATTACTGAACAATTCAAAATTGGAAAATACGCGTTTCAATACAGTTATACATACATAGAAAAATTCTTTGTTTAGAATTTGTTTGGGAAATGTTGCTCACCGTTACAAAAACAGTATATTTAAGGCATTGGAACTAGGAAATACGTATGATATTAGAATTTGTTTGGGAAATGTTGCTCACCGTTACAAAAACAGTATATTTAAGGCATTGGAACTAGGAAATACGTATGATATTAGGGGCTTAATTCGCAGATGATTCTTCTAATAAAAGTTTATATGAAAATAGAATAATTCATCGAAAACAAAACAATTTTAGTATGAATTCTCGCAGGCAATTAGCAAGGCGAAATCTAGTGAAACGTTCCTTATAATGATGATACATTTATTATTTACACCGGATAGCAGTCATATACGAAAGTATAGCCCGGCCAACTTAACGTTAATTTCATGAAACACTTCGAATATAATGTATATTTGTACAATTTATGATGTTATTCAATTATTTTTGAATTGTAAAACTGTAGATATATCGATTGACATTATCCTTTTTGTGTATCTTTTTATTACTATTCATGAGTATAAAAACAGTAAGCGAACTATTGTGCAGTGGTAAAATACAAAATCGTTGTTTAAATTGTATTTGTATGTTTACATATATATTAAATATAAGATGACAGTATACGTAGAATGCATTTTTTTCGTCGATCGCTCAGTTCCCTAAAAAGTTTTATAATGATAGGTATTTCATCAATCTCAGGGAAAAATCCAAAATGGGGAAAATCGATTTTCTACTAAAAGGAAAGCTGTCGAAGCTTTTACATTCAGAAAACTTATCGTTTTGAAAGAAAACGTAGTCGGTGCAGGGTAACTATATAAATATGTCCTCGAGTCGACTATATAAAACATCAAACAATGGCGGATAGTCCAGCACTGGTTTATATTCAACGAAGTTTCGCAATATGTTACTCTGAGATAAAGCAGAACCGGATGCTCTATTTTAGCATCAGTGATTGAGGAGAAACGGCTTTAACACTCAGATGATGGGGAAATCTGGATGTCCATTTAATAGCTTCCTTCAGTTGCCGAAAAACACCACTTACGTTTGCCATCGGTAATCTATATCCATTCATTGTGATTCAAATAGGAAATTTTTTTCATAAAATATTTCCCACATTATTCAAGACATATAATTCATAAGTCATACTTTCTTGTGTTGACTAAATCTTAAATGTTGACATGGTCCAGGTATATTGTAAAAATGAAAAACCCGTTCCCAAAAGGATTTATAATGTTATACACCTTTGCGACTGCTTCGCCTTTTTTGCCAAATATGGTAAAATACCTAAAATGGTATTATAAGAAAAATGTAATGCTAAACACGGAAATACCAACATTCTGCCCAGATACAATTTTGATTGCTAGTATCTAACACAGTCAGTAGAAAAATCAGGAAAAATTATATACATCTTGGAAGACCAGAAATTCATTATTATAATATACGAGAACCCATATGCATTGAGTATTTATGAAACGAATTGTTCAATATTTATATTTTGACCATTTTTTGACAACTCAATATCATTTAAAACACTTTGACATCACTACCAAGCATATTTATAACGAAAGTACATCATAGTTGAAAAATTATAACATACTCAACTTGATTGAATGAGCTTGTGATGGGTTGCATTTTCAATCTGATAATTTGTTTAATTCCCCAACGCAAACTGCGAATAAATGCATACCGGTAAGCGTAATTGGGGTCAGGCGATCAAACTACACACTAAGATGGAGGGCAAACACGGCCAGAGTTCATCTTCCGAAGATAAATATCGTCACGCTAATAACCGAATTGCGTAAGTCATTTTTAGCAGTTCTGAGAAAAACGTAAAAAACTTCCTAATGATATTGCTAGTCCATCGAGAGTCAATAATTTGCCATAGTTCAATTTTTTGATCGTAGCCGGATTTAAGTTAATTTGTATGACGCAGTCATGTGACGTCATAATGGCGCACTGTGACTTAGGCAAAATGTGTCTATTACTATATCCTAATAAAAATATTCATTGTTAATCACTATTGTAGTTTATGTTTCTTAAAGCGATTTGCATCTTTATGCATGATATGCTCACGAAATGAAGGTCTTTCAATAAAACAGGTAAACGTTGAGCATATGTATTTTATTTCTGTCACGACGAGAGCACTAATTAATGAAGCAATCCTTCACGTAGAATATTCTTCATTTAATTGTTTTTAGTCTTAACGTAACAATTGATAAATAAAACTTTGTATCAGGCATAAATTCGAGACAAGTTGATTATCAGTGAGATTTATTAATACAAACCAACTGTTTGGTTCCGTTCAATGCCAAGACATGAATGCAAATATTTGCTTTCATTGTATATATATATATGACAGAATAGGAAATGAGTAAATAATATCATATCAAGTAAATACCAAACGAATATTTGTGATTATATATATATATATGTTTGCATATTTTGACGTTGAGGTTCATCAGGTAGTTTTGTAACAACATATTGATGCATTGTTTTTGTTATAGAATGTCTTTCAGGTTTCGGGAAGTTCAACGGCGGCATCCTACCTCGAAAGAAGTGGGCGGTGATAATAGTTGAAAAAAGTAAAATTATAGTTGCCAGTTTCGTGTTCAGTTGTGGCCCCTTCAATTTAAATAAGTTGCCTTTTTGCTTTTAATGTGGCTAGCATACATATTGGTAATATATATAATATATAATTATAAATGTACATTATCACATGTTTAATTTTTTGTGGAAAAGAATATTGTAGGTAATTAATATCAATTAAAAATATCTGCATCAATGAGATACCTGCTATTGTCTCTCTGCGAGTATGATAATTTTTGTTCGGTATTGTGTAGTTTTGAGCTTCACACATGCAGCACTTATATCGTCTCAATTTTACGAAATTAATGTGCAGAAACACGGGTTCACATACATTGGAATTACCGAAAAACGTTTATAATACCACAGCAAATCTTATCATTGAAGGGAATTCCGCTCTAGGAGAATTATATTTTTGATGCGATTTCAACCGCGTCAGACATCATACCATACTTGAGATTTCAGTAGTGGTTGACTAAAGTCTAGTTTGCGGCAAAGATACAAACATAACAGAATAAGGCGTTCCCTTATTTTATAAAAAAAACGTTTTCGTGTGAACTAAAACGAAACAGAAAAATGTTTGTTGAAATATCAGGCATAAATTCGAGACAAGTTGATTAGCAGTGAGATTTATTAATACAAACCAACTGTTTGGTTCCGTTCAATGCCAAGACAGAAATGCAAATATTTGCTTTCATCGTATATGTATGACAGAATAGGAAATTAGTAAATAATATCATACCAAGTAAATATCAAACGAATATTTGTGGTTTTATATATATATAATTATGTATGTTTGCATATTTTGACGTTAAGGTTCACCAGGTAGTTTTGTAACAACGTATTGATGCATTGTTTTTGTTAAAGAATGTCTTTCAGGTTTCGGGAAGTTCAACGGCGGCATCCCACCTCGAAAGAAGTGGGCGGTGATGATAGTTGAAAAAGTTAAATTATAGTTGCCAGTTTCGTGTTCAGTTGTAGCCCCCTCAATTCAAATTAGTATCTTTCAATCAAGCAAAACACATCCATAGCTAACCCCAGTCAATTCTGGCTACCGACAGCATATCTATCTCGCTTTCTATGTAGCTAGCATACAAAGTGGGAATGGATTATAAATATAAGTGTTTATTTTTATAAATTACATGTTTATTTTTGTGGCACTATCGTCTCAAAATTTTGTTGTACATCTCCGGCGCTTTGTAGTACAAGAAGAGAGCAATGCTCGACTATATTGAAATGAATGCAAGTTCTTACCTGGAGCTGAATAACTAGTTTGCGGAAAACATCAACGCACAAACATGACAGAATAAACCTTCTAATATAGGGCAAAAGCATTTTTGATCAATGGGTCAAAAATCATATTTTTAATGTGGAAAAGAAGACGGTAGGTAACTAATATTCAATCAATGAAATACCAGCTGTTGTATTTTTTCTGTGAGTGGTATCATCCTTGAATGGTATTGAGTAGTTTTGAGCTTTACACACGCAACACTTACGTCGTCCCAATTTTACGAAATTTACGTGCAAAACACGGGTTCACATACATATAAATTACCGAAAAACGTTCATAATACCATGGCAAATATTATCAATATTATCCGCTTTTAGAGCATTATATTTTTTTATGCGAGTCTTTCAAATTTTGTTTTTCAATCGTCACTACACGCGAAAAAAAATAATAAACTGCAAAATAGCACATGTAGTACCTCTCGTACACCCCGACTATTTTCTACGGTCTCCTCTGGTTCATCAATGAGAATTCTCATCGGGTCCATGCACCTCCGAAATCGAATCATTGTAGCGCATGGGTCGGCAACCCTTTGTCGCTTGCGGGCCCAAATTAGGGGTTGTGGCAGTGGTGGGATTCAAATTTTTTGTCAGCTGGTTTCATCACAAAAAGTCATATTTTTCAGCCGGTTCTGTTACAAACAAAACATTGACAGTAACCAGTTAAGCTAACCGGTTCGCTGATCTCATAAAATTCCGTGAGACGGTTCTATAGAACCGGTGCGAACCGGCTGAATCCCACCACTGGTTGTGGGGTCTTAGGCGGGCCGCATATATATTTAAAGAGTTAAAAACCGAACGGATGGCCGATGAATCCCAATGTTTTTTTACACAGATCATAAATTGAAATTTTACATTTTAAACAGCGTGCGAAGACTGTGACAACTAGTGAACTCAAAATTACAAATGTCATTTAATGTGACACTTGTTGTTGCATCACAATTGATAGCTTTTCAATATCTGGCTGCACACTGTATGGGCATCCGAGTTCTCAGCTTGTTCTTTTTAATGTTTAATTTCGAAAATAATTTGAACATTTCTTCTATTTTCCGAGTCACGGTTCTATCAGAAAGGCTCATATCGGAGAATAAATTTTCTTTTTCATGGCATACAATACCGACTACGGTCATCAACGATTTTGAAATGCTTCTATTCATAATGACGTATAATGTTCTATTCCTCTTGGCCCAAGTGTTCTGCGCCCTTGAGCCTTCTACATTCAGCATCAACATTTTTGCGTTTTTTTTTTGACATTTGTCAATTTATATTTAAACTGCAGGCTCTTGATACTAGTATCTGTTCACTAAATAGTTAGGCTATAATATAACAATAACTCTCACAATAAGTTCTGTTACGTGTAAAGAGAACAATCCACTCCTCAAACGTAGATTATAAAACTAATTCATCTTCCAAACCGCAGTTTTGTCGCTATATTTCAGTGAAGCGTCGCCGGCCGGATCTGGCCCGCGCGCTGTAGGTTGCCGACCCCTGTTGTAGCGAGACAAGATGTGAGAAGTGAGATCCGTGATTTTGTTATGTCCTAAAAGTTGTAACAGACATGTTGCGTTAAGTGCATACCGTGTGTTATATTTCACTTATTGGATTAAACTAATTCTCATTGCTTGAACTAAGGCTGGGTTCATTACCAAATTCAAGACTGAGAAGTTAGTATGTTCTTTGCATAAATTTGTCACTTGGCGGGCGCACCAAAAAACAAACATAGTGTGTCGCTTTGTGATCGGCGAGCCGAGAGTTTGTCATACCTACACTGCACTAGGTGATTGACGTCTGTGCTTGTACGCTTCATACCGTTGACTTAGCACTGCGTCTTGAAGATGTCATTTGCAAAGCTGCCTTGGTTTTGTAAAATAAGGTATGTATTATTTTGGAATGAGCGAAGCCCTTGAATTATAGTGCATCTGTTGTAATAATCTGTTGAACTAGGCCTAGTTGTAAATAACCCAAAAACTTACTAAAGTCCAAACATCTACCGACAGTCAGTCACTGTGGCCGAGCGAGAGCTGATAAAATCAGATATGTAACAGACTATAGGCCTATATATTATGCTGACTGGTTTCTACGCTAAAACCAATTATTTGAAGGTCAAGCCAGTCTATTAGGCTACGAGACAAAGTCTTGAAAACCAGTTTCGTAGCGACCATGAGATGAATAAATAAAATATAGGGGTTTTGTATGAAAATGTACGCGTGTCAGCTCGACTCCCGATAATATTCGTTTAGATTTCTACAATGCAAAGCCTGCTTTCAAAACGATTCTTTTAACAACATGCAGCTGCTGTAATTAATTTTCAGTTAGCACAGACCTGGCAATATAAGATAATTTTGTATGACAATTACCACTTAATTCGATGCAATTTTATTGCAATGAAAATGTGGGTGCTTGAATTAGAAATGAATGAGTGAGAATAATTTTGAAGCCATTTGTACGTTTACGTATAGTTACTTATGACAGGTTGAGGTTCCCAAAAACATGCCACAAGGTATGATGCAGGCCAAACCGACGAATGAGTCACATACATGCTATATTTAAAATGACTTAAAATAGTACTTTACAACAGAATTTTGTGTGTGTACTTTTGTTTTAAATGACGTTGAATAAAACCTAAAACAATGTACGACTGTCATTAAGTAATTTTGGACTAAAATATGATTTATAGTTCAATTTTAGCATGGCCAGGATTTTGGTAGGATGCAGAGAGTCGTTTGCAATCTGTTGGGTATAGCTTCAACAGCTCCCATCCACCACCGATTTCTTCAAGTTCGTTTGTTGCAGCGGCGACTTGTTCCGGCTGAGATTCAGGCGACGGCACAAAAACAGTTACGACTCTTTTACCTGCAACGAAAGTATGTCTGATTCGTGTATGTTGATAAATTATCTATATTGTGAAATTTTATTTATGGGGTGTTTTTTTGTTTGTTTTGGAATTGTTTAGTAATCGAACAAAACTTTATTCATCCAAGTTAATATATACACATAACATATATACCTGTATGGCCACAACATGAAAGTTTCATTGCGTAGTTTTTGTAGTCAGATACCATCACAAAGTCTGAGCTTTCTCTGTCATCTTGGTATAAGGTGGGAAAGAAATATGTCAGAATTGAAGGAAATGAATGTAAAAAAGCAAAGAAGTCTGAAACACAAAATACAAAAATATGCTGGCAAACATGTGAACGCAGTCCAAAATTTCAGTTGGCATCAAAGCGTTTAAATTAATTTCAATTTTGATATGTGATATGTCGGGAGGCAAAGTTAGTTAGGGGTTCAAACAATATATATTACAATCAGACCCAGTTAAAATCTTGATCTCTGCTATTGGGCCGAGGCCCCAAAACAACCCCCTTTGCTTTATTACACTTCAAGTCCAAGATATCGTATTGTAGTATAATATGTATTGTGTTATATATGGCTACAAGCCTAATCACAATACAATTATTACGCACATTTTCGATAAAAGAAAAACTGGATCAACTGAAATAGGCCGATAAAATAGAGCTCTCGTTTACAAGATGCGACCTAATCTTATTGTGTACACGCTGTTTAATTAAATCTCTAACCATATAAAAATAGCATCCGCAGACTCGACAAAAATTTAAACAAACTTACTGCCACCCTGTTTCTCCGTAAATCTAGAATTTCCAACTTTCTTGTATTCCTTGTGATCTTCGCTATGGGAGTGTTCATCTCTGAAAGAAAGATGCAACATAATTTAAGAAGTTGAGCGCAAAGGCGAAAGTTTAAGAGAATGATGAACTGAGACAATACAAAAACGATTGTATATATACCCAAATTTGGTGTGCTCTATCGCGACTTTTCCGCCGCCACTTGTTCCTTCAATATCTTTGTATGCAGTACAGCCACTAATTTCATGGGACTCTCCAGCGGAGTACCAGGTACCTAGAAGCTGATATGCGGTATTAATAATATATATTACTTACAAGTCAAAGCGCGAATTAGAGAATTTAATATTAATTGAACAACTTTACAAACCTTTTCAAATTGAAATCCTTTGGTAACATCCGGTAGAGTACATTTTGAGTGTCCATGGTTTTCACTTTCAACAACGACATCGTGAATGTCATAATGGACATTTGGTAGGTTTTTGCATTCAGTAGGATATAGTTTCATCAGTTCCCAGCCATGTCCGATTTCTTCTAGACGATTAGTTGCTGCTGCAACTTGTTCGGGGAATGATTCTGGATTCGGTGAAAAAATATCGACAACCTTTTCGCCTTGAAATAGAAAAAATATCCAGATCAGTCTTGATCTACATGTATATTATATTTTTGAAATATTTGTCTTCTACCTCGACACAAAAATTGAGACTCTTTAATTTTGTTGATACTTTTATACTTATATTATATTGTTTAATTATATAGGGAAAACATACATTCTACCGATATTCAATTACTCGATTTTGATTAATATGTCGTATTTGAAATTGCGTCAAAATTTTTCCATTAATAAAACTGTAATACGAATTGAATTCTATAAGATTATTACTGGTGATGAAGGAATTGGCAAAATGAAATCGATTTGCCTAAAAACTGAATTTGGTGGAACACAAATCTATTGACATATTTATATATAATTAGATTTTCCACAATTCCAACAGGCTCCAAACAACTAAAATATGATCAATTTCTAAACTCACCACTGTGATGATCGCATATCAGTTGCAATAAGTAATTTTCGTAGTCAGAAAATAAAACAACTTCTACAACATTTCCTGAAAAAAAAATATCAAATTTACTAGGATGAAAATTATTCTGATTGATTAGTAGCCCATTGCACAGCCTGATGCATGAAGGATTATGAATACAATATAAACGAAACGCAAGTAACAACGTATTAGCATGATTCCCTCCTTAAAACATGTTTTGTAACTCAGGCGCTGCCACATGAAATCAGACATTTGAATAATAGAGGATATTTGCATGAATGCATGATGCAAAAAATACATGAATGTTATATTTTTTGCGACACGAAAGTGTGCTTAACGACATTTTTTTATTTTTTTCATTTCCACACAAGTTTCGGTAAACTGCATTCATGTGGTACAGTGCGAATTTGCAATTTTGAACGCAAGCTAATTGATTTATATATATAAATTATTATTTCAAATATTATTTTCATAATATCTTACCCAAATGTGACGTCTTTAAAAATCTTGAAGGTCCAACTTTCTTTAAATCATAATGTGTCAACGTGTTTTGAGTTTCATCACTGCATAATGATAAAATTCATAAATAAATTGTTAGGTAACGTTAACACGGTGTCCAGGAAAGGCATAAATGAATACAGGACGATTCAGATGACTAGCGACCAAAACATGTAAACGAAATACGGGATTTAAAACGCTACCAAAAAAGTGAGTGAACATATCGGAAAGAATGAAATCTTTACTTTATATTGAAATAGTCCGAATCAACTTTTCCAGGACTGACTCCTCTAATGGCAGTACAACCTTTAAGTTGTGAAGATTGTCCAACCATGTACCATCTTCCCTTGAGCTGTTTTAAAAATAAATACATTTTTTAAAAGTAAATAAATTTTATCATGCTGCGACCCGGCTCATTTATCCTAATCGGCATAGATTCGAGCCTGATCTTAATATAAAAAAACTGTAAATACTGTTCAAAATTGTCTGATGTCTGTCAATCAGGTACAGCTAATTCGAAATGCTTCAAAATAAAATCCGAGTTGTGGAGGTATGTTGGAGCAGTGATTTTCAACCGGTGTTCCGCGGAACACTTGTGTTCCGCGACAGACCTCCAGGTGTTCCGCGAAAAATTGCTTTTTCGAAGTATTATGACGTCATTCGAATAATATAAATAGAGTCGATTTGAAAACGGCGAGTCAGAGTTTTGAAAAGTCGGTATATAAAACTTGTAACCAGATAAGAAATGACAGGCCATATTCCCTTTTAATAGACTTTATCTCGACGAGTATTTTTAGTGACCCATTCCATTCTTGACCAAATAATGTTTCGAAAATGTGAACATTATACTCGACCATGAATGGAGTCATCATCGGAGTTGATTACATTCGTGGCATTTTGAAGCTTGCAGTAATAATTGTGTGTGTGAGTGTGGCATCATCAAAATCGTCAAGTGAAGTGTTAAATTTGCAAATTCCGTGAATAAAATTGTGAATTTGTAGGTAACGATTTTAGCTATGATAATGGTCGCGGTATTGTTTTGTTGAAAAAGAAAACGTTAAAACTCGAGGTGGTTAATTCTAATCAGCGTCTAAGCAGCACAAAATCAATTAGGCAAAAAATTGTTTACAAGATATAATGCATGTAAGATATCGTTAAAGAAGTGCTCTTTATCGTCATCTCGCCTAATGACCACGTAGAAATGCCTTTATTTTAGCTTTTAAATCAGCATTCAGGATTCACGCAATCACAGATTTATCTAATCACAGTATCTAATTGATTTATTCCGGAAATAACACCAATGTGGTGCATAAGAAACTCAATTATCGTCTTAATAAATGTGTGCATCCCGTTGTCGATAATGATAATATTATTCGCTAAACTGGGACGTTTAATTTGCAAACGGCGATAAGTTAGATCTAAGCCAGCGCAAAGGATAAAAAGCAGAATAAAATTAAGTTGGAATTTAAAATCGCTCCTTAATGTCATTAACATCTGTCGCCGATGTGAACGCATATAGTTATACCAAAATATGAGACTTCGATCTCCGCCGATCGACAAGAATTAATACTTGCGCACAAGAACAGTGGCGGTAATATGATAACGTTCAGGGGGCAAAAAAGTAGCAATTATTACAAAATCAAACAGTAAAAATCGCTTTGCTGCCAATTTTCAATGTTTCTATTAATTTTCAAATCGACCTCCGACCTTCTGGACTCCTGTTGCGTATAAAAAAAACGAGAGAAATTGAGAGCCGTTGAGAAAGAGCTGCGTGTTTGTCTCTCCTCAATTACAGAATAAAATATTTGAAACTAATCGAAACAGACCCAAATATCACACTAAAATACCATTTCTGTTTCTAGCTACCGTAATTATAGTATTCATGAGCAAACTTGCAAAAACTTGCATATATTCGTGCCGTACTTTAGCTCTCGTAGCTCTGGATCGGAATGTGTCACGTCTTTTCCTAAAGTTGACAAGCTATATTATTGATTTCGTTATTTTATTTTCATGCCGAAATGATCGACGTCAGTTAATTGCATAATATAGTTTATTTCCAAAAATTTCGTTTGGTGTTCCGCCACAATTTCAGATTAAAAAAAGTGTTCCGCGGTACAAAAAAGGTTGAAAATCAATGTTGGAGGTTCAGTCTCTAAAAATATGCTTATTCCACTGATATAAGGACTCATTAGTGTTTTAGACTCGGGTTTACCTGTTATCAAGACCATTATGAATACGAACCTGGTCTGAAATATACTGCTCCGACACTTCAGGCAATTCACAACTGTTTTTCGAATACGGTATTTTTTTGCAATCAGTGGGATAAAGTTTCACTAGTTCCCAACCCTCACCGACATCTTCTAGAGCGTTGGTAGCCGCAGCGACTTGTTCGGGATGAGATTCCGGATTGGGTACAAGAACTTCAATGACCTTTTTTCCTGAATATGCATAGTATTTGAATTTAATGTTGAAATTTTAAAGTTACTAGTTTTAATAAAGACGCGTCGCGCATTTGTGATTGAAAAGTTAATAGTACTTTAACAAACGTTTTCATTCCTCACTACTAAAACTGAAAATGTTGAAACGGTGAGACACTGGCCTTCCTACATTTATTGCACCGTCCTACATTTATTATAGCTATAAAGGCAAACTCAAGCAGAAGCCAATACGAATTCTCTGTAAATATCTTATAAAACATATAACATTGCCATCGTCAAAATTGTTTGCCATAGAGTAAGCAGAATAATTCAATATGCTGAATACATAATAACAAACTTGAAATTTACCTGTTTTAGCGTCACAGAACAATTTCATTATGTATTGCTTAGAATCAGAAACGATTACGAATTCCGGAGAAAATTCTTTATCTGCCAAATAAATGAAAAATGTTTCATAATCAATCTTAAGAAAATTGAAAATAGTAGTTAAATTTAGGATAAAATGATTTTGACTATACTAGAGGCGGACGAAATTTTTTTATAAAGTGCATTATATGTAGCAAAGTACGAATTATATCATGTACATAAAAACAAACATATCATCGCTTCAAATATTTTAACTTTCTAATTCAAATCATTGGAATACCAAAATGTATGTTGACCACAAGTCCTACCTTTGCTAGATTTTACTGCAAATCTGGATTTGCCAACCTTTTTGTACTCGTATTGAAGAATCTCAGTTTTGTGCGAAGCACCACTGAATAATTAAAAAAAAAATGAAATATGCATTTTGGGGTAGATTGTATTTTGTCCAATATGACCAACCCCGTGATATTGTGGACCTTACATCAAAGTCACAAATCTATGTAAATGTTGGCATTCGTTATTTTCAGACGTCTAGCTGGTACCTGACATCTTTTGGCGAGAAACAAATTACTTATATTACCGTGAGTTCTCATATTTTTTATTGATCCAAATTACCGTGAATACATACTTATATATCAATTTGTCTTTTATATCAGGTATTTAATTAAGTCTTTAATGCAAATATATATTGATTTATTTTGAAAAATGAGTTGTCAAAAGACGGACTCTCTGCATTACTGATCAAATATACAAATTGCATCTCACGCAAAATTGTGCAATTCGATATTCACAGTGCCAGTTGTGGTAGTTTGTGCGTGAAATTGACTGTCGACTCTGCATCTAGAACCTTCAGTATACGACACTCCGACTGTGTACCATTTCCCTTCAATCTGTAATTTTGAGTTGGAGTTCGTGAGAAATAAAAGTAAAATATTTCCAGTGGAAATAATACATTTAAAATAGAGTTTGTGCACCGCCAATTAACATGATCAAGAACACTAAGGACTAAAATATTGTATTATATTTGAATATATTCCCCACTGTTTTTTTAAAAAAAAATAGTTTGTCGTATTATATACATTCCATTAAGTATAGTATTGCATATAATACCTGTTATTATTCATTGTCCATATTCAATTCATATGTACGGAAAAAAAATTACAGTACATTACATTCAAAGCGTCCCAATTGTTCAGAATGAGGGGCAACTTGTTATATAAAACAGGGATAATCAACTATTTTCACTAGAGGTCCGTACACAAAATATTTATTAAATATCACGGTGATCCGGTGATTCCACAAATACATTTTAACTATGCAAACAAAATTTCAAATGTATCGTTTAATAAAATACAAGAGCAATGCTCAATATCGCGCTTCGGTGTCAATATAACAAGGTTTCAGTTGTTCAGCTGAGCGCCGACTTTGCTTGAAAGATGTGAAATATTTGCCACAATAGCACACGTAAATAAATATTTTAAAATCTATATTTGGAATATATTAGTTGCTGAGAGAAGCGATTTTTCTCCAAGTAATATTAAGAAAACCCACAACGTCCACGAGAATTTCATCAAAACGATTTTTTTTAGTTGTTCAGCGAAAAATGCATTACATCACGATTGTGAAATAAAAAGAAAACGGTGCATTCAAAGTCAAGAAGCAGCTGCGGTCCAAATTTAATACTCGAACGGTCCGGATTCGGACCGCCAGTTGAGTAGCCCTGATGTAGAAAACTAAATGTTTAATAGTCGAATAAGATTATAATATTATCCCATGGTGCATAATATTGTTGATTTGCATGCACCAACATTTGCACCGACACAAATTCATTAAAAGTTGGGCTTACTTTGTCAAAATTTAAATCTTCCTTCACATGAGGTAGCGCACAATTTGTGCTTCCATAAACTACGCTGGAAACAGAAGCTATACACAACAAAACTGCTAATTTTGCCATAGAATCCATCTTCGATCAATGACCTCCACACTAAAATAGAGGTTTATCGGACAGCAATATCTTAACTCTTGCACTGACACAGGTATTGCGGAAATGTGCTCACTGACTGACCTGTATCTACGTGTGGCAAAGTCGAATATCTTTTTTTCGGACGTGCACGTTTGAAAATAATGATCAAATTTACGTTTTATTTGATGTTAAATAACATTTGTACTATTAAGAATTACGTGAACATAATCATTTTTCTGAGTACGCATCAGAGAGTATTAACGCTTCGGTGTTGCATTTACACTGATCGTCGTGTATCGGAGTAATGCTTTAATTTACACAAATAAAAAATTTTCGTAGTATATGGCTTATTTAATATCAATCATTTTATGCAAAGGAAGCAGTCGATCATGATCATAAATCATCCTGCAAATAAATGGCATGAGTACCCAGACGAAAACGATAGGTTTCGTAATGAAAGATACATATACACGTGATATTTTATAACAATTAATGTCGCAATTAATTGGATTGATCATCTTTTCATGCACCAACATCATGATTACACTTCAACGGTTTTAAATGATCGATAGTTTGAAAATCAGTACCTGGGCTTGTTTGGATGATTTCGAAGTGCCGAGGTTGTTATGGGTACCTTCAATCTTGCGGACACCAATATTTGACCACAATTTTAAAGAGTTTGGTATTTTTGATGTAGCATAACCTATTTTTGGCACAATCACAAATATACATTAGCTATCACATAGTGAAAGCCTGTTTTTACGATGGTAAAAGCCAAATTGACTGTTTACCATATCGAAAACAAATATTGCAAATACTTATTTAACAATGCTACATTTTACAGAGTATAAGTCGAATAGTGTTCATTCGGTCATCTTCAATATCGTTAACGGCCAATCAAGCTCAACAGTTACTCAATTTCAATATTAAACTTATACTAGCGCGAGACAGCATTCGAACATGAATGCTTGGGCCACATTGTTGTCAGTGATAGGTTAGTTAATGGGTGGGCAGGGTTTTCAGAATGGCGAGCCATGTAAGTGTGACGTAATAATTTAGCTATCAATCTTTACGAATTAGGAGGTAAATTATTAGAATTCATCCGGAAACGATAGACTATAGTCAGTGGTTCCCAAACTTTTTTGTATCATCGCCCCCTTACAGTAATTTATACAACTTTTTTGCCCCCAGCATTAAGAAAAATTTAAAGTCAGAAACGATAATTTTAATATTTGCGTAATATAATGCAATGTCGGGCACTATGCTTTAAGACAAAAAAACACACTCGAAAACATTTCACACGAAGAAAAACTATCAAATAATGTGTCGACCAAAAATTGAAATAGGTGAAACAGAAAATAATACCATATATTTGCGTAATAAAATTGCAGTGTGGGACACTCATTATTATATGGTATTCTTTTCTTTTCCACTCATTTTCAATTTCTGCCAGTCCGCGAGTACAATTTATTTAATTTTACCGGTCCGCCAGAGTAAAAAGGTTGGGTACCACTGCTCAAATCCAGGGCTGTGCAACCTTTAATACAGGTGGGCCAGATATAAATAACTGAGTAAAACCGCGGGCCGTACTTTTATTTGACATAGGCTTTCTAGTAGTAGCAAGCACGAAAATTTTGGTTATTGATGTTATGACATGGGTTATCAGTGCCGAGATATAGGCGTGTCAATATCAGATCGGTACCCCGGTATCGGCGATAAAAGCCGTATTGGTATATCTCTAGTGTATGTATCCCCATTCAAAAATTCAAATTAAGAAATAGTTAGACACGACACGGCAAACCCCATCAAGATTGTGTTGAACAATCAAGTATTTTAGACACAATGTTGAACATCCGCCTCTCATATTCAACCTTCGTTTTTAACCGTCTGGATTTTAACTTTAAAACCATCAAATAAATATCACGATATTGAAGATTTTAACAGACAAATTTTTATTCCAGTGTGACACAACAAAACTCTAAAACGTCGATGGTGCCGTTATTCCATAATAAAATACCAAGTCCCTTCGGGCCACGGAAATAGGTCCCGCGGGCCGGGCCACTGGTCGTATGTTGCACCCCTCTAATTGAAAGCAAATACAGTAGGCGATGGATGCAAGGCCTATACGCCACACCATCTAGTCCAGTGGGAGCAATACAGATCACAATAACACTACGGTGTTTTTTGTGGTTGGTTGGCAGACGGTCTGTTTTAGATAGTCTTGGAGAATCTGCAATTTTCGATGCAGTACAACTGATTGTTTGGCACAATCACACATATATAAACTATCACAAAGTAAATGTCCGCTTATATGAGAGCAAAAAAATGGGAGATGAAAGGCAAACAGCACAACGACCCGACTGTCGCAGTTGAATCACACTGAAAACAAATATATATAACGATGATATAGCCTAAGAATTAATTTTTTCACAATGCTACATTTAATAGAATACAATCCGAATGTTCTTCAACAACAAACGTGACTGGAAAAACCGCCATTTCCCAAATCTTTCACGACCAATGAAGCTTAACGGTTTCGAATTTTCATATTAAAATTTTACCTGCGCGAGAGAATATTTTTTGTTTTGTTTGCTATCTCTTAAGAATTTATGCCACAACAAATATGAGTAGTATAAATGAGACGATTTCCCGATTTTGATTGGTTCTTTCGCCCGAGAAGCTGCTGCACAATGTGTTCGTTCCATAGTTAGTCAACGTAATAATTAGTTAACTAAATCGGGAACATGAACGCTTACAATCGTACTGTTGAGGCACCATTGAAAGTAGTACAAAAAAATCTGGAATTAGCTCAAAATAACTTTACTTCTTCTTATTTAAAATCTATGCTCTGGAGAAAAATAGAATAGATCAAATGTGCATTGTTTGGTGAGTGTAGGCACATAGTGAAGTGTAATTACAAAGTGATTCGTGTAAAATAAAAGTAATAAACGCGCAAGCAGTAATCAACGCCATGGCTTCGTGCAGTTTGTATAGCAATTTATTATTAAATAGAAATTTCCGCCTTAACATTCATGGGTTTTTTTCTACGTTTTTTAAAGTTTCTGAGTTTTAAAATAATTATCATGTTGTCACTATCTCAACAACGCTATCGAGAATATAGATAGGTTGTGGAAAAATTGAAAGCTCAGCGTCGTATTCAAAATTCCACTTAATAAAAGTGCAGTCTTCTAAAAAAAACAATGAACTTTAAAGAGATTTATCTTGTTGTCATGGTTTGTTAACCCGATGTATTTTTTATTCAAATTGAATGAACATTGTAGTGTAAAATTTTCAATATATATATATATTTTAATCTACTTCGATATTTTAATAAGAAATACCGATATTCTACATTGAACTCGCAGCTGTAAAATGAAAGTTATCAATCAATTCAACAAACAACCGCATCTAAATTATGGGAAGAACGACTTATTTTGTCGCAAAACATGCTCAAAAAGAAAACATAAGACAAGAGGAGATCCAAACAATGCAGCCAGAGAAAGGTTATTTTAGTTTTTTCTAATGAATTCTTAACAGGATTTGCTGCAATTTGATAATATTTCATTTTCATGATTTCAGGAATAGAGTTAAAACGTTGCGGAATGCGTTTACGCAGTTACAGCACACCCTACCATCCATTCCTCCAGATACAAAGCTTTCGAAGTTGGACATACTCATTCTTGCCACAACGTATATAGGACAACTTTCAAAAGAATTAGGGAATGACCGTTCTACCAAGCGATTAGGTGAACTATCGATCCAAATATACCTATTTCATGCAGAATAATTTCCATAAAACTAGAACGTCCTGTTTGTTATTCCGAATTTCTATTTCTGTCCTAATGTTTTATTTTTATGATGATAAAAATTTTAAAAGTGTAATGTATTCTGAAAATAGTCCTTTACCCGCTTTATTTAGAATATGACTATGTAGTTTCGTTTTTGCTGATATTTTGGACAAGAACGTAAGAATTTTGTATTTTTTTCACCTATCTAAATTAATTCGGCAGATCAATTGGAAAAATCTTCGGCTCAGATTCGAGAAAGAAAAAGACTTCGTCAGGCCTTACTCCATCCCGTTAAGGTAATTTCCAATAACACACTAACTGTATATGCTTTTCAAAAAATAAAGGTTTCATATGTGTTGTAATTGTACAGCTGCACGGCAAAACATATCAATAATTTAATTTTCGAAAGTACTTTTAGGTGTTTATTTCATTGAGCTAATCACGGGGGCTTCGACAGTGAAATAAAAGATATGTTTTGGTTTTAATGATGTGACAATTACCAGTAAAACGCGAAGGAGTGTATAAGCATCAATAAGTACTTGGATCTTAACGCCATTTTCAACATTTCTCCATGAATAGGCGTTTTTGATACTTTTTATTTATTTTAATGTACAATAAATAATGAAGCAATCTATTCCTCTTGATTATCCTAAATCAGTAAATACAATAACGTGTACAATGGCAAATGGAATAAAAACCACTAATATTTACAATCCATAGTCAATGATGCAAATATGTTTTGATAGATCCGCGTATCTTTCAAAACGATCTTTGATTTTAACATTTTGCCCTGTCATCGCTACTCACTTGATCAAACAAAATTACAAAAACTTGCCCCAATGGTTCCAATTCAGTCGTATTACTTTGAAGAATGACGAAAACCTATCACGAAAATGGAAATTGAATGATATGTTTTTCCACACATCCATTGATTAGAAACTACTCAGATGTTGCGATTAAAACTAGGAAACTTACATGGGCATTAAACTGTGACAAAACGGAAGCAACCATCAGAGACTTATAGTTGTGCCTGTCACCAGTGCGCGTGCGAGTAAGAGGCGTCACAGTCACGTTAGGGATTAATGTTTCGCGGTTCTATAGGCCTGTAAACGTTGCCTACTGTAGCTGGTGTAATGAGCCGTATAAATAGTGCGGTTTTGAAATGATGTAATCTTTTTTCTTGCAGTCCTTTTAAAAACTTGATCATATACTTGTATTCTATATAGATTTGTATATACAAAATAGAAAATAGGTAATACAAACTTAAACAAAAAAGCATTTGCATTATTTTTTTGTGCATGTGTATATCGAGGTACGTCAAATGAATATCCCTTTTGTTTACTTATTTTAATAGTGATTTAAACAAGCCAAATTTGATTAACTTGCATAAACATCAGAGAAGTAAAAAATAGTCATTTTTTTTTGAGAATATTCGGAAATCAA